ACCTTCTGTTTGCTAGCACTAGTAGCCAGCCATGTTTTGAATAGCAAATAGTACATTCTGTTACAAACTCAAGAGGCAAGTTAATGCTATATTTGTACTTGAGACCTTGCTTTGGATGCACAATTGTTAAGACATCATCTTTCTCAATACCCACAAATAGTGGTGTCAGTGATTTATCATCAAATCTTGACACTGAAGAGGTTGATGTCCATTGAATTGGTGGTGCTACTAAACGAAAGAGTCTACTAGTAGCTCGAAATTGCAAATAATCAAATAAGTTGAGACGTTTTGCAATACCTTCAACAATGTCAAATTGAAGTGTCAATGCAGTAATAGCTCTATCCTCAGTCTTGTTTGAATGGATTGTATTTGTGACATTACTTTCCTTTTCTATAATTTGATCTCTTCCTTCTTCTTTGAATGAATCAATCATCCTACACAACATGAGTACACGTTAATTTTCTCTATCAAATCAAACATACACAAATTCAGCATGTACAATTCAAATTCAATATGACTTGTACTAATTGTATTTAGTTTTCATGTCTATTTATACTATGTCAATTAAAACAACAAATAAATAAATCAGATTACCATAGATCAGGCATCAACCACTTTATAGAACAGAATATCTTTTGAGGTAAATTTTCAGGCTTTGAAATCATCAGAGTCTTGTTTTCAGTGTTGTAACTGTATACAAAATTGTTGGAACTTAAAACAAAATGGATGCACCCCTCTTCAGTTTCTGGATTGATTGCTTCACAAGCAAAGGGGGGATTCACAAAAGGGGTTAGAAAGAACACTCTATCCTTGATGTTATCCATTATTTCCCACCCCATTTCAGAAAGATTTAACCTGTGAACAACAACAGAATGAATCTGGTCTTGTGCATGCTGAATTTCAATTCGAAACAGTTCATCGTCGGATGCTAACAATCTCGTCATGAAGCCAAAGCTAGTTGATAGAACTACTGGCCAACTAATATTTGTGGACTTTAATCTAAGGCCACTGGATCCAAGTTTCTCAATTACAATTAATAGAGCTTCAAAACTTGACTCAGCATATAAGCAGCCATTGAAATAAACTGGATTAATAAGAATGTTTCCCCTCCAATAGCGTCTACCCTGTTCGGATAAAGTGCTCATTAGATCCTTTTTATAGTCTACTTCAGACCATTTCTTATCTCCAAGTTGGCAATAGAATATTGTAGTAGCAGGTGATGAAAATAAAAAAATAGTGCAAATTTGTTCACTTGCACTAGGAGAGGATGACAAAATGCAATCACCAATGTCCTTGTGTTTAAGGGGTGGAAGCTTGATTTTTTGAAGGTTGCATGGGTTCCAAAGAAATAATTGGCTAACATTTTTTACGCGGTTTTCCAAAAGACACCAACCATGTTGTACAGTCAATAGATTTGATGTGGATAGCTCTGGAATGTTTTTTGAGTAGGTTTTGGTTGGATCTGATATGCTGCAGAACGGTTCGTTCTTTTCTGCATCTTCAATGCTTGCATTTTGCTCCATATTGCCTCTTGTTCTCTGTCTACAAATTAGTTTGAGCATTGATTGTACAACCAATTCAATGATGCAAGATTGAAAGAAAACAAAACAGAGAAAGAAAATGATCATTGTAAATTTCAATTTCTTATCTCGGATTACTCAAGGAATAAATAACCTCAACAACTTATGTTACTTTCTTATTTATATTTGCATGGAATGAGTTACACAAATCCGAACGTAAACCATGAATGAGTAACACTAATTTCAACTAATCACATTATTAACAATACAAAAAATTAAAATTCAAAACAGAAGCAAACACGATCCGGTAAAGTAAAAAAAACAAGGTTGTAAGTAAGAGAGTGCCGTGAGGTAAGGAACAAGTGTAGGAGTACCAAGGTTGAACATTAAAACATGGATAGACCAGAACTTTAGTGGCATCTTTTATTTGACAATGTTTAGATAGATTATTTTTTTAATAAAAAAGATACAGAAGATTGATTTTGTTATGATTAGGATTTAGAATATAATTTAATATTAATGTTTTAAGTACTCTTTTCTTTTTATTAATTTTGTAACTCATAATTATGTTTTATGAATCGTTTATACTAAAAATCCTTGAAAATTGGATTAGTTCCTTGTTTATAAGATCAGATTTTTTAGATGAGAGGCAAATTCAAAGGTATATCAGTGATTAAAAAAATACATTTATTTGAAAAACTTAACTAATAATCTTTGTTAAGTTTAATTTTTAAAATTAGACATCGTATATCAGATTGTAATATATTTTTTTTATTAACTCGTGTTCAAATTATTCTTCAAAAAATAAGAAATCGTGCATTATCATAATATTAAATAGTGAGACCATATTCAGTATCTATTGTTTTTTATATTATAAATCTAAATATTTTCATTTTAAATAAAATTCTTATTTAAAATTATTTAAATTATCATTAAGTTGCATTATTTTTGGTTTAAGTTTTTAATTTTTAAATCATGATATATATGTCAATTTGTATATAGTTTGTGTGTTATATTTATGACTTTTTTTAGTTAAGTATCAATGCTTTATTAAGAACAAATTCAGAAAATAAAAAATATTTCAACTCTTTATAATTACAATTTACAAAAATATGACTTTATAGTATGAATTAGATATGAAGTAGTTTATTTTTACATTTATTCTTTCCATTTTTTATAAATTTAACTCTAAAAAATGTTTAATTTAAGAGTTACATTCTAGAAAGTAAATTATATATGAAGTTTCATGTTTTGAGTAATTATACAAATTCAAATATATTAATATTATTTAAATTAAAAATTAAGTTATATTTATACTGTTTAAATAAATAAGTGCTTATATGTATATACATTGAGATATCAAGTAATTTTATAAATACGTTTTACAATAATTACTTCATTAAATATTTTATAAAATGTTAAATTTTACTGATTGATAGTTGAGTTCGGATATAATGCATATCAAATTTTAGATAAATAAGAAATTTATAGATATATGATTTTATAATCCGTATTTTGCTTACATTTTAAAAACCATATTAAAAATTAAAATAAATTTATATAAAATATCAATTAATTTTAAATTTGTACAGTTTTTTTATAAAATATTTACAAAATTAATTTAACAGTTTGAATCAGAAAAATTCAATATATATAAATAATTATTAATCAAAGTAATTCTTGTAAAATCATTCTCTATAAATATTGTTTACAGTTTCTTTTTTTATTTTCTTCATCTGCAAGAAAAAACAAGTTACCATTATAAATATTCACACCATGGCTTAAAAAAAGTAACTTAACCAAAAGTAAAAGTAAAACATCACTATCATCAATTTTAAAATTTTACCTAAAATCTTTATTTTTTTTAGGTTATAAATTTAATAATAAAATATTTACGATTAGTTATTAATAATGTTGAGAATAATCACAACAGAAAATAGTTTTTATAATAATTAATTCAAATTTAAATAAAATTTTAATTAAAATACTTTTATACTGTTATTTATTTATAAATTATCACATTATTTATATTTATTAAGTTATGTAATAATGACTTTAAAAAAGTACATCTATAATAAAAAATATTATGTCAACAATGTATTAAAATTAAATTCTTATAATAACTTAAAAGTAATATATATTTATTTTTCAAAAAAGGAAAGTATATATTTTTTAATAAAAGGAGAGAAAGATATAATTTAAGCGTGTTTAAAGAGATAAAAATATAATTCATTGATAATTTAAATCATATATCATAGATTAAAACATTGATAGGTACAATATGCAAACTACAACAATTTTAATTGTTTCTCTAACCTTGCAATTCAAGATTTAAATAAACACATAAAATAAAAGTACTAGAACAGTAAGAAAAGAAGGGTGTTTAATCTAAATTAATTCTCCAGAAAATAAAATAAAAAATATCGAGACTCTCATCCTAAAAAATAATTTATCTAAAATAAAAAAGAAATGTATGAAAGGAATAAAATAAATAAATTTATTCTTCTCATAAGATTATAGTTCCCTACTTCCTATTATTTCATTTTATATTTTAATGTATTTCCAAAAAATAAAAAATAAAGAATTTTATTTATCTGTTTTTTTTCCTCAAACCAATCAACATTAAAATTTGTCGTCATGCTTTTTTTATTTTATGTTTTTAAATATTTTTTTTAATCATCATGTTAATTTTATTATGAGTTTTATTAATATAACCTCTTAATATTAATTTTAAAAAATTAAAAATAATTTTATTATTAATAATATTTTTCAATTATTTAAAAATAATTTTAAAATTAATGACAACAAATCAATTATTTATATATTTATTTATTGCTTGTAATTGTTATTTTATTTCCTCACTTTATCAAAAAGAAAATTTCAGTATAATAAATACCACTCATGACTTAATAATGTGTTTGGTTGCCCATAATAAAAATAGACGAGTGAGAAATAAGAAGAAGAAATAACAACGTACAAGATTTGTTTTTCTTTTTGTTTTGTTATTTAAAAAAAGCTAAAAATAAAAGAAAAATTATAAAAAACTAAAATTAATTTTTTATTAAGAATAAAATTCCAATAAAAATGAAATATTTTGTATTAAATTTATTTTTCACAATTTTTTAAAAATAATTTAATTATTTTTTACTCTTTTTTAATTTTTTATTCATTTAAATACATATAAATTTTATTATTTTTTTATTTTATTTTCACTCTTTTTTATTTTATTTTTTTTAAAGATTCTATTTCACCTAGTCAAATCTTAACGTAACAATGGATTATCCGGACCCGAGCCGTTCGAGCGCAACCCATAGGGCATTGCTCCGACGACGCCGTTTTTAATGTCCAAAATTTAACCTACGCCTTATGCTGACACACAAAGGCGGTGTCGTGGGTGTGAAGCCGCGCTCTAACCTCCGGAGAAGGTTACGTTAGCGCCCTGTGATCACTGCTCCATTTTCGTTATCTACGGTTCCATCCATGGCAGAATCCACCGTCGCCGCAGGCGCCGTAGTAAACTTTGAAACAAAGGTTAATTACGATGCTAAACTGAAAGAGTTACTTCACAGAATCACTTCACTTGAGATAAAGCTCTGTTCCGACGCCACAAAAGAGTTCGTAAAGCTATTAAAAGCCGAAAACGGCGGCGAACTGCTTCGCCAGTACGTGCGCGGTTCCCCGAAGTGCTCGGAGTTATTGGAAGCATGGAAGCTTCGGCAAGGAAAACAAGGAATGCATTACGTATTTGATCTAATCTCCAACATTTTGAACCATAGTGAGGGAAAATATAAGCCTAGCAATGCTGAAAGTGTTAGTGTTAGTAAGGATTTGGATAGATTCGCGAAGTTGCTTGTTGCGGAGCATTTGAACGATGTTTATAAAGAGTTGAACAGCAAGGAATCGAAGCGGCAGAAAGCTGCCTTGTTGCTCGCTGCTTCGATTGTTAGGCGTAGCGCGAGCTTGGCTTCTGAGGTTGCGAAGTGCTTCGATTTCAAGCTTGGTGAATTCGTGAGGCTTGCGTCGGACCATAGGAAGAAGAGGAGGAAGATGAGTGAGGAGAGGGAGAGTTTGCTTCGGAAGTCGTTTGTTCGGTTCGCGATGTCGTTTTTGGAGGTTGGGAAGCCGGGGCTGTTGCGGTGGGTTTTGCAGCAGAAGGAGATGTATTCTGGTGTTCTTAGAGGGTTAGGGAGCGATGATGATGAGACTGTGGTGTTTGTGTTATTGGTGTTGAGAGATAGGATTCTTGTTGAAGAGTCTTTGGTGCCGCCGGGGCTTCGGAGTGTGCTGTTCGGAAGTGCAACATTGGAGCAGTTGGTTGATGTTTGTGGAAGGGAAGGGGGTGGTGGAGATGCTGCTGTGGTGGCGTTTAGTGTTCTTGTTAGGGTTTGTACTGATCCTAGTAATGGTTTGATGCCTGACTTGAAAATGCGTCCGAATCCGTTGAGGGGTAATCCGAAGAGAATCATGGGGCTCTTGAAGAAGCTCAGGGCTACTGAAATTCAGTATCATAAGAATTTGCTTTTGGCTATTGTCAATGCCAAACCTTCTTTTGGTTTGTCATATTTGAAAGAGTTTCCTTACAATATCGAAAATTTTAAATCTTCTTCATGGTCAGAATTGTTTATGTGATTTTTTTATTATATTTGTTATATTTTTATGCATGAGTAATGTTGGCAATACAATGTTTGACGCACTCTTTTCAGTATTCTTGAAAACTGGAAGCCCATTGGCCACCCTCTGTTAGGGGGGCTGACATGGGATTTTGTTAAATAACAGATACAATATTAAAAAGTGTGTCAAATGATGGTGTTACTGGCATTTCTCTTACGTTTGTGTGGTTTTATTCACCCCTTGTATTTTTGGATGGTGACTGATGTATTTGCAGGATTTCTGTGATATCTGTGGCAGCTCATTTGGTTTCGTCAGTGGGCAAAGGCCTTTGCCAGGAATTTGTTGCTTTTGGATCAAATGATTCATACCTGATTGACAATATGGATTTGCACAGTGTCATGAAGTGCTTGTTTCCTCGTCCATTCAGCAGGTCATTGTTTAATAAGGGATTGCCTCATACTGAATTGTATGTGAAACACGGTACTTTAAGGCTTCTTCTGGAGTTACTGAAATTGCTGGACTGTCTTTTTGGTTGTTTGAACCATAATTCTAGTTCCAGCAATCCATTCATGCAGCGCATGATGTCTATCAAGGAAGAAATCCAGAATTATGTTCAAGCTTTCCTTCCTGATATGCAGGTTTTATTAAATCTACTTTCCTCTTTAGATGCCTGTTCTGAAGCTTGTAATTCTAATTTAAAGAGAAGTGCATGCCTTTATGAACATAACAGCAGTAGTAGAAAGAAGTTAAAAAGGGATACTTCTGAGAGTGACATAGATATAGTTGTTGCTGGCATAAGTTCTACTCCAGATATTGATATGACTGATGACAGAGGAACGGATGATGAAGAGGATCTTATGAACATCATTGGGGAAATTTGGGGTGTGAACCTTCATTCTATGGATATTAGCACATTAAAAGACGGAGAATCATACTTGCTGTCTAAACTGCTTGACACTATCAGATATTATCGGGTATGTGCAATTTTTCAAATCTTGTTTTAAAAGCCATGGGAGACACTGATACTGTTAAGTCTGTTATGTGATAGAAAAAATATCTTGTGATCAAACAAGAATATTTTACAAAGTATCTCTTTGCAACATCATGATTGATGTATTCAAAGATTGGGGCAGAGAATAACTATCAATAAACTATTGTCAACTTCGGTTTAACTTTCAATGATTTTCTCTATTGCAAATCGTAAACTACATAGGGATTATATCTTTATTCTTTGTTTTTGTTAGAAACTCCTAGTTGGTGTCTTGGCGACTAGTACCAACATGTGTATCCACTTCTTTTTCTGAATGGTCCTGATTAAACCTGTTTCAGTGGCATTCCTCTGAAAACCTGAAAAAGTTTTACTATCCAGCATCTAGGGTGTAGTTGCCATGTTATCTCCTTTTTCTTTTTGTTCCCTTTGCTCACTTTATTATAATCTTCTTAATGCATCATTCATTTAGGTTTACTCTCTTATTGAAACTCAAAGCATTCTAATACAACTTTGTGGTGTTTTGCAATGGTTAATTTGATTCAGACAAAATCAGGTTAACACTGTAAACTTACTGTTAACCTCAGCATGAGTTGGAATTTAATTTTCTTTGCAAACTGCAAAATGTCAATATGGAGTTATATTTTTGGGATTTTGAGTTTACCTCAACTTTTATTTTATAGTGATTATAAAAAATAGTTCATTGTCTTCTTATACTGTCAATATATATAAAATTATAAGCATTGAGTGATCACACCAGATCAATCAGATTGTAACATGTGGCACAGTTGAACGTGAACTGTCAGATTTACTTTTAAGGGAAATATAATCTGTTGCGTGAAATTCTCTTGTTGCAACTAAGAGCCTGGCCAGCATCTTGCTAAACCATCCTAGTGAAAGAAATCCAGTGTAATTATTTTTATATATATATTTTCAAAGTAATGGCTGTAATTTATCTTATATTTGTTTTATGTTTTTCTTGTGCAGCGCACACTGCCTTTCACCCTGGATAATTCATTTGAATCTTTCAAGGGTCTTCTCAAAAACCCATTAGAGTTAGCAGGTCATTTGCAGGTCCCATTGTTGTCTTTGCTTGTGGAATACATTGAATGGTGTCCCGACAATGAAATTCCCATAAGAACTCCACCCATGTTGTACAAATATCTGCAGCCATTCATTAAATTGTTAATGTTCTCACCAAACATTGTGATAAAGGATCTATCTTACAGGTTGGTCATGGCAGCCATGTTCAGTACTGGCGCTTTTGACAGAAATCTTCATGAGATAGAAGCATGGTTTTTATTTTTACCAGGTTATCAGAGAAAGAATTCCCCTGTTAATATCTTGGAGGTGGATGTATTACAGAGTTTGATTCTATTTGTCATATCATTCTTGTGTGATGCTATTTCAACACTTGGAAATAACTTAGTCAAATATTGGAATATCCTTAAGAATTATGTCCATAGTCTGGAAGGTTGTAAAGGTAATTAGTTCTATATTCTCATCATTTATTTCTTTGTGGTCTAACTCTGAAATCACTTACATTATAAGCTGAGTGATAAATTCATATGATCAGTATTTTTCACTAAGACTATGAAATACAATCCATAATTTCATTTTTATACCCATAGTATCCAGTAATGGTCCTTTGCTATGGCATTTCTGGGGACATGCTACTAACTGTCATACCGAAATTGTGGAGAAAGTTTTGGCACTTTATTGCTGATCCAGTAGTTTTCATTGCAGACTTATCACCTTGTTTTAGCCCTTTTATCATATGTGTGCTGGAGAAATGTTTAAAGGTGATCCGATCTAAATCAGGATCCTGCTCATTGCCTAAAAAATCAATGATATTATTGTACACTTGCAATACAGTCAAGTATCTCTTGCAAACACAGGTACATTATGCATCATTGACATTTTTTGCTGAATTCTGCTTGCATTTTGTGCACATCTAATGTTAGATCTGTGCTTTTGATAGGTCAATGCTGAATTGTTATCTGCTGTAGTTAATGCAGAATTGAAAGAGAGACTTGGTGGCAGTTATGAATATGATGAAGTCTTTCCTGATTGGAAGCCACTGAAGAATTTGTTGGACTTTGTGAAGAGCATATCATGTCAACAAAGTTGTTGCCTTTTCTCTAAAAATGAAGAATCTGTCCCTCCCGATGGTTCATTGGGAAGTGCACTCAGTGGTGTAAATATATTGTTAAATAGTGGAGCTGGTCATAAGATTGCTGAAACAACCACAGCTTTCATATCATCAATTATTTTGGAAGGTACTGAGAAAGTATTGACTAATCTTCCATCATGTGTGGTCATTTCCCGTGACTTACTTGGGGTTCCTTTCTCACTCTTATCATCAGTGTTTTTTCTTGATTATACTGTTCTTCTCCATGCTTCCAAGTTATGGCCTGACATGTTTGAAGCTGGCTTGGATATGGCCATTTCAGATCTTGGCAGTGATAGTTGCAATGCTGCTCCAATTGTGACTTCTGATCTTACATGGTATCCAGACTCTCTAACTTGTAACCAACTTTTAGATGCTTCTGAAGCTGATGCTACTGCATTTAGTATCTTTCTGAAACAGGCACCTTTCCATGTGATATTTCCTGCAATGATGTGTATGAATGATTCTTGTGCATCAAAGCTATCTAAAATGCAAGAGCTTCTACTGCATAAATTATCTGAGTCTCCAAATGATTGCTCACTCCTTCTGAACCTGAAGCTTGTGTTGTTCTGGACTCATCAGATTCAGTTATGTTATAAAGTTAACCCATTAACTCAAAACGAACAACTTTTGAATATCTGTGTTATGCTGATGGGGAACTTATTTGCTCAATTGTGGGTTCCAAAAGCTGGATCTGACAGGTCTCTAAACACTGCCTTTTTTTCATCAAGCCATAATATTCAAGAAGTGATCAAAACCATTTTTTGTCATCCTTCTGTTTTGACATCATTTTCATTTTCTTTGGGAAGTGGTCAAAACTTTACAAATGAAAATGTAGAGAACAACTTTGATATGATTGATGTACTATCTAGCGAGGGGTTTCACAAATTTGGTGATCCAATTTTAAAAATATTAACAATGGCTCTAGACTACATGTGGGCCTTATTTGGTGCTAAGCTTTGTGCATTGAAAGTTGGAGATGTTGCTAATAATTTTGTGAAGGCCTTTAACAGCGTTCAACAAAAGATGTTTCTAGATTTCAGAAACATATTTGAGCTGTGCATTCATACTAAAGATATGATGCCTCTCCTTCCAACAGTGTATGCATTGCATACTTTGCGTCAGTTTTTATCCCCTTTTCAGCTCCTTGAATTAGTAGACTGGATGATTAGTAGAGTTGAGGTGGATGATTTGGCAATTAAGAAATCCTCTTTATCTGTTGGATGTTCCTTAGCTGCTGATGCCTTCAGTGCTTTGTCCATTTATTTTCAACAGACAACTGGAAACAGGGCACCATATGATTTATTTTGGGAGATAGGTGAGAAGAATATGAAAGGTTATATTTTTGTGCAGATCTACAGTAAGGTAGTTGACTTATCAGTAAGTTTTGATATAGATAGTGCAGATAGATGTTTGCTTGAAGCTGTCAATGCCTTGTATAAACAGAAACAAATGCAACAAGAAACTTTTCATCCTCTGCTGCTGATCATGTGGAAAATTATAATGATTACTCCAGCAAAAATGCTTTCTCATTGCATGTACAAGATAAATGCAAAGAAAGCTAAGTTCTTACATATTCTCACTGAACTGAGCTCTCTGCACTTATCAATCTTTGGGCATTTATTTTTGGCTGTAGTGAATAGAAGTTTACATCATGATGTTGGTGTGATAGGGCATACCTATGATCTTACTCTTTCAGAAGATCAGTTTATGCTGCTTTTACCGGCCTCTTTGTCATACTTGAGCTTAATTTCTGAGAGATTTGGGGAGCAGAATCACAAAGGTTTTGAACAGTTAACTTACTTTTATTCAAAAATTATTTTAAAAGGTTTAAGTCAGTGGAAGAGCTTTTCCTCAAAAGACATATTTGAGGAACAGAATGGAGAATTCATTCCATTATCTGTTCAAGAACTTGTGTGTCTTACTGATTGTAGTCTTCTTGGAAAATCAATTCATATGTTGAAGCATTACTTTGCTCTTAATGGGGTTTCAATAAAACCGAAGATGCGATTAAATCTATTCAAATCCATTTTCCCAAAATGTGCTTCACTTGATGACCTGATGCAGTGTGACAGTGAAGTTATTGATAGTTATTCTCTGGCTCAGTCTTTGAACATTATTAATCGTGTTGTTGTGAAGATATCACTTTGTAAATTATTATTGTTTCATGAAGAAGCAGGTGGAGATTTGAAAGAGGTTTCTGTGAAAATGCAAAGCAAATTGGGAACATCCAGGATACGTTTCATAAATATTTTGGTGGACATTTGGCAGTTTGTTGTTAAAAAATTTTCTTTAGCCTCTGATCAATCTGGAACTTCAAAAAGAACAAACATTGCATTGCTATATAATCACTTGGAAGTTTTTGTGTTAAAAAGCATTCTTGAATTGGTTGTAGAGATGCAAAATTATCTTATTCAGTTGCAATCTATTTCCTTCCTTGAGCATTTAGTCAGATCTGCTCTTCTGTATAGGTTTGTTGATTTTACAACAATGAAAACCCTCCAGGTTATATTATGTCAGCTTAATGAGGGGAGGCTATCATATGATTTGTATCTGCAGTTGTTGCTTGCTCATTCTCAGTTTGCCCCCACTCTCCATTCAGTGCGCAAACCAGCAGGTTCCTTTTTGAAGCCTGTATCCAGTATTCTGAAATGTTTTCTGATTCCTTCTCTTGACCATTGTGAAAATGATGAGATTCACGAAGAGCTATCAACTGAGTTCGCTAGAGGACCGTTGGAAATTATTAAATTGCTTTGTAAACTGTTATTGATAAAGTCTCGTCAAAATGATTTAGATTATGGAAATGATCTTGGCATAAATTTAAAAGAACTGCATGCACTGCTACGTCATTCGTATGGTGCTACACTTAGTCAGATTGATTTGGCAATATACAATCTGATGCAACAAATTGAGTCTATGAGTGGATCATGGTCCCAGAATGCCGAGTTAGATTCATCATCAATTGAAGAATGGTCCGTCAGCCAGTGTAGAGACAATCTTCCAATTGACCCTGACCTATGTGTGTCAACAGTTTTCTATTTTCCCTATGACAGAAGTATCTCTGATGAGCCATCATCTGTTAACAAGGTTGAACCAGATACTGTCAGGAAAAAGGTTGAAGCATGCTTTTAAGTTACCTACAATAATCTGTGTTTCCTGTCTTTAGTTTTGTACCTGTTCTAGTTATCCTGCCATAATTTTAATTAACTATATAAAATTCTGTGCAGATACATTCTTCTCATTTTGATGTTAGAGAACGTTATGATCCTGTATTTATCTTGCGATTTTCGATTCATAGCCTCTCAAAGGTATATATAGAGCCTGTGGAGTTTGCTGGGTCCGGGTTGCTTGCAATTGCATTTATTAGCATGTCTTCACCAGATCATGGGATAAGAAGATTAGCTTATCGCACTCTTGATAAATTTAAGAATGCATTAGAGGTTGGTAATGGATTTATTTATGCTTCTTGTTTTGTGGTTGGATAAAATTTCATTATGGCAATGTCAGATATATTTTATTTCCATATGTTTGAAAATTGAATTATTAATTAATTTATTTGTATATAATTGATACTTTTTTACTCCCTTATAAAATGCTACATTCTTATGGAACAATCGGATTGATTTGGGTTGGTGAAAATGGGGTGTGTTGACTGTTCATTTTCTCTGGGGCAGCTTCTTGTGATTCATTTCAAATGTTTTGCAAGAACAATGATGCCATATATTTATCCCTTACTTGGGCAGTTTTGCATGATTCATTTCAAATGTTTTGGCAAGACCAGTATTTCAAATATTTGTCACATTGCATTTTAGAGAGTTCTTTTGTGTTATTCTATTTTAACTGGTTAGATAAAAATGCCAGCATTTTAATGGGTATTTTATTTTCTTACATTTACTGATCATGTTTATAGGGCCTCTTTGTTTTGCTCATGATATTGTCATGGGTAAAAAATTATTGATATGAAAAGAGATTAGACAAATTTGCTGTTTCTTTCCAAGAAAAATCTTGTTGGCTGTGGAAGCATTGCCTCTGTGTGTGTGTGTGTGCATGTATTCCTTGTTGGAAGATTGTGTTTGATTAACAGTCAAAATGCCTTGCAGAAGTGCCAAAAGAGGAAGGATGTAATGGGACTTCGGCTTCTATTAAATTCTGTTCAAAATAGTATAGAAGAAGCATGGCAAAGAATCCCATCGGTTACTGCTCTATTTGCAGCAGAAGCATCTTGTGTATTGTTAGATTCATCATATGATCATTATGCTGCTATAAGTACTTTCTTGATACACTCTTCTAAGTTGAATATGAGGGTAAATATCTATGACCATAAAATTTCCTTTCATGTTGGAGCTTTATTTTTTAATCAAAGTTTGTACTTTGTAATGAAAAATAATTCTATGTTCCATTTACTTCGATTTTGTAGGTCATACCTATGTTTGAGAACTTTTTTTGGAGTACATCTGTCAATTTCAAAGCAGAAAGGTCTTGGATCCTTCGGCTAGTGTATGCTGGGCTGAACTCAGATGATGATGCCATGATATATATCAGGAACTCCATCCTTGAGAGTCTAATGAGCTTTTATATCTCTCCACTTTCAGATTTTGAGTCAAAGGACCTGATTATTGAGGTAAACACATTCTTAAAATTTGTTTTGTTTTTTTCCCATGTGTCTATCATAGTGCTTTAACATGTAGTTTTGTAGTATATCTTCATTTTGTGGTATACATTGCTGGAAATTACCTGAAACTGTGTTACTATCCAACTTTATGTATTTATATTATAACTTGGTTTTCCTATTGTGAATGGAATCACAGATCAGTGTCAATTTTTGAAATTGTTGACTTGAATTGCTTCAAGTCCTAAAATATACAATTCACAAGTCAAAACCCAAAACTTGAGTTTCTAGTAATATTCAGATGCTGTTTATATGAAAAGATTTAGATGTTCCATTTTATGTGGACACATCCAACTATCAAACAACACATTGAAGATGATGTTCATGAGGACAGTGGGTTGCATGACTTTTAATTTGGAGTAAACAGGGATCAAGAGAGACCCAAAAAAACCTTAGATGAAATTATTAAAAAAGACCTTTTGATTAATTAAATTTCTAAAATTTGGTTTTTGACCAAGTTTTATGACGTCGTGTGATCCATGTAGCCAACTTCACCTGTTTGGATAAGGCTTGGTGTTGTATCATAGATTATCTCTTTATGATTATTTTCCCTAATTCCTTATTTTTCATGTCCTAATATCTCATAATTTGATTCCTTATTTAGTTAGGATTATTAGTATAAATAGGGGAAAGTGCTTTATGTTTTATCAATACATCAACATATTATTACATTGTAACATATCACATAATATCAAGTCAATATCAATTTTGTTGTGTTTAATCCCCTTTCATCCTTTTCCTACCTATATGTGGAGACTTGAGAAGTTTATTTAATAGAAGCTCTTTTCAGCTTATTTTAGTAAGTTTCATTGTTAAATGCATAGTAGTCAATAGCGGAAATAGCGGCCGCAATCGCGGCGGAGCGGGGCGGAGCGGCCCTTTCCCGCGACGGCGACGCTGTCGCGTCGCGTTTCACAGTAGCGGCTGTCGTGCCGCGATTCGTGGCGGAAAACACCGAAAATAGCGGCTGGAGCGGCCGCTATCTCATTCTCGCGCGTTTCCCCTTTTTGCCCCTCATCTTTTACCGTTAGGGCCCTTTAAGGGGGGGCAATTTTGGAATTTCGACCCCCCCTTATTTTTCTGAATCATCTTCTTCAACCCTAGCCGCCATCAGTCTGCTCTCCTCTCTTCTGTTCTCGTTTCTCTCTCCTCTGTTCTCGGTTCTCTCTCCTCTGTTCTCGGTTTTCTGGTCATCCTCTGTTCGCTGTGCTCTGTTTTTCCGGCGAGACTTCTACTTGATTTTCCGGTCATCTTCGTCTCCGGCAAGCTTCTAAGGTGACCCAAATTATTTTGAGTCATTTTCTTCATCTCTTCTCATCTTCTTCAAGGTCAGCACAACTTTCCGGTCATCTTCTCCAACTCCGGCAGACTTCCGGCGAACTTTCCGGTACTGAACATTTTTTTTTCCTATATTTTTCTCTGTTTTTTTTTTCTCTTCTCTGTTTTGATTCTTCTATTATTTTCTGTTCGAAATTTCAAAGCTTAAAGAAGTAATGGCTACTCCTCCCAATCTGTCACAAGAAACCGGCTCTGTTTCAATTTCATCCTGTGCATTAGTGAAGCCTTCAGGAAATAATTTGGATATAGGTTGGCAATGGAATAGTTTGAAAGACATAAATAATAAAAAGTCTGTTACTTGTGACTTTTGTGGAAAAACGACTACAGGCGGTATTACCCGAGCAAAGAGGCACCAAATGGGAGTGAAGGGAGATGTTGATAAGTGTCCAAGAATTCCCAAAGAAATAAAAGAAACACTAATAGCAGCTCATGAGAAGAAGAGAATTGAAAAAGAGGTATATTTACTTCAGCATGATGAAGATGATGATGATGAAGAAGAGGTGCAAGAAATTCAAAATATTCGTAGTAGAAAACGACCTGCAACCTCAAGTGTTGCATCAGTTTATGTTAGTGGTTGTAATGCCACCAAAAAAAGAAAAAATGTCAAGGGCCCATTGGATTTATTATGGTTAAAGAGTTCAGAAACAAGCATCAAATTAGCAAAATCAAAAAGACAAACAAGTATAAATGATGCTTGTGTCAAAGAGGCAAGAGCAAGAACAGTTCAATACATAGAGCGATTCCTTTGTAGGAATGGAATTGCTTTCAACATTGTGCGCTCAAAAAGTTTCAAATTAATGGTTGAAGCTATTGGAAACTATGGTCCACATCTAAAGCCTCCTAGTTATCATGAGTGTAGAGTTCCTCTTCTTAAAAAGGAGTTAGAGTATACAAAGGAAATGTTGAAAAGTCGTGAAGAAGAAAGAGAAAAATGTGGATGTTCAATTATGTCAGATACGTGGACGGATAAAAAAAATAGAACATTGATCAATTTCTTAGTAAATTGTCCAACTGGTTCTATGTTTGTAAAGAGCATTGATGCATCTGCTTATATGAAAACTGGAGAAAAGTTGTTTGAGCTCTTGGATAGCTTTGTTGAAGAGATTGGAGAGAAAAATGTTGTGCAAGTAGTTACTGATAATGGAAGTAATTATGTATTAGCCGGTAAGAATTATTCTTTACTCCCTATATTAATTTCAGTTACTAATTATTTTATTAGTTTCTAATTTTAGACTATGCAATTTAATTTTAGGTAAGTTGTTGCAAGCTAAAAGACCACATTTGTTTTGGACTCCATGCGCTGCACACTGTATTGACTTGATATTAGAAGACATTGGAAAAATACCTAGAGTCAAGAGAACAATCCAAAGGGGAGTTACTCTTGTGGGTTTTATTTATAATCATTCATTGACTTTGAATATTATGAGGAAGTTCACCAATAAAGCTGAATTGGTTAGATATGGAGTGACAAGGTTTGCCACAACATTCCTCACATTACAAAGGTTGCATAATAAAAAAAACAACCTTAGAAAAATGTTCACTTCCGATGAGTGGTTAAAGTCCAAAACAGCCAAAGAAGCTAAAGGAAAAAGGGCAACAGACACTGTACTTATGCTTTCTTTTTGGAATGATGTGGTTTTCTGTCTTAAAGCTATGGGGCCACTTGTGCAAGTTTTGAGACTTGTTGATAATGAAAGAAAGCCTGCAATGGGTTATATATATGAGGCAATTGATAGAGCTAAAGAAAGCATTCAAAATGCATTCAAAGGAAATGTAGACAAATATAAGGAGATTTTTGCTATAATTGATAGAAGATGGGAGTGTCAACTTCATCATCCATTACATGCTGCAGGTTATTATCTGAATCCTCAATTTTTTTATAGCAATAAACAAATTGAGAATGATCCTGAAGTTGTGGAAGGCTTGTATAAATGTATTGAGAGGCTATGTACAAGTGAAGATGATGTAGATAATGCTACAGTTCAATTGTCAACATATAGGAGAGCTGAAGGTCTCTTTGGTTTAAGTGGAGCAAAAAGACAAAGGGCTACAATGGCTCCTGGTAAGAGATTTGTTTAATTTTTTTATTGTAATGTAATTATGTAGATATAATACAAAAGGTTAATAAGTTGATGCATAATTTGCAGCTGAATGGTGGAAGAATTATGGAGTACGTACACCACATTTACAAAATATTGCTATTAGAGTGTTGAGTTTGACTTGTAGTTCATCTGGATGTGAACGAAATTGGAGTACTTTTGAGCACGTAAGTAAATATCTGAATCCTCAATTTAAAGTTCTTTTATGAAAAGTGAAAATCTAATATTTTTTTTTATGGTAAAATAGATTCATTCTAAAAAGAGAAGCAGACTTGAGCATCAAAGGTTACAAGACTTGGTTTTTATTAAATATAACCAAGCTCTTAATGAACGTTTTGAGTGTTCTGACGTGGTGGATCCTATTATCTTAAAGGATGTTGATGATAGTAATAATTGGTTGCTAGAAGGAATAGCTGGAGATGATGAAGATGCTGTAGATGAATTAGTGTTTGATGATGATAACTTGACTTGGGGAGCTGTTGCTAATGCAATTGGGGCTAGTGAGCCTATAACCTACACTAGGCGACAAGCTAAATCAAAATCCAAGACAACTACAATTGCTTCTTCATCTAAATCTAAGGGAAAAGGGAAAGAAATTGTACAAGAAGAAGAAGAAGAAGAAGAATGTGATGACGAAGACTCTGAAGAAGAGGATGAGGAGGAGGAGGTTCTTTACAAAAGTAGTGATGAAAGTGAAAATGAAGAGGACATTGCAAATCTTGGAGATGAAGATGATGATAATTATTAAAATATTTGTATTTGAATTGAACACTTAGTATTTTTAAACATCTAAGCATTAGAGACTTAAATTTAGTTAGTTAAATTTATTTTTATATTTTGTTGTTACTTGTTATTGACATCTAAGCATATATATATATGTGTGTAATTTAATTTATGAGTTTATGAGTATATTTATAATACCTAAAATAGCGGCCATCCCGCTATCCGCTATGCCGCTATAGCGTTTTTGAGGTCGGCCGCTCCGCGCCGCTATCCGGGATTGACTACTATACTTAAATGTATGAATAAGCTCCTATTTGATAACTGTTTGGTTAATAGTTCTTAATGAAGCTATTTACCAGAACACACCCTTAAATGGTTTGAGATGCTATTGAATATAATGAAATATCCTTTTACTTTGTGTGATTCTTACTGTGTCTTTACTTTTTCCTCTACCAATATGTAACAGGGATATCTTATTTACTCTGCAGGTGATAAAGAAATCTGTCAAATTGCATAAGATTGCCCGTCATTTAGTGAAACATTGTTCTTTATTTTCATGGTTTTCATCTCTCATCTCAGTTACCAGAGAGAGGCTTGATGGAGAACAAAATAGATTTTTCTTGAAGCATGTGTTTGTAGTGTTGAAGGTAAAGTGCTTGATTGTCATTCAATTTGTTGGGGCTTTGCTTTATTACTTGTAATTGTAAGCCTGCCTATTTTTTAGCAAGGTGGTTCGTTGAGCTTAGTGCTGAAGAGGATTAAAGTGGTAGTTTGATGCTTTGATAAACCAAATTTTTCTGAAAAGGAGGAAAGTTAAAATCATAAAACAATAATTTACTTGTCTTTTGCCATTTTTAATTAAATTTGTGACCTAAGACTGTCTGATCATGAAAACAGCTTAATTTCCTTGGCATGCTGCCTGTTTTAGTCTACCATTGAGCTTGGTTAGCTTCAACACCAAATTATCCCCTAAAATTGTTACTCAAAGCTGTCTTTTGATTCCTTTGATTGTAAATCATATGTTGACTGATTTGCTAATGACATTCTAATGTAAGATTTATTTAATTTTGTGGCCTTTTTTATGTTTAAAAAAACAAACGGTGTACATTAGTCATTTATTAGTTTTTAAACTTTCAGTTTTCTTTTTCTTTTGCGCTGAGTATCTATAGCTTTAATTATTTAGGTTGTCAATGTTGTTATTTCATCTGGAAGCATCTCCAAGTGGTTGCAAAATCATGGCCTTGAGCAGCTTATGGAGCTTTCATCCAAACTATTTAATTTCTTACTCCATGATGTAACATTGGGAAATGAAACTGTGGATCTAGTTAATCCTTTTCTACAAATGATGGCATCAGTGTTGAAATTATCTCAAAAAAGGAAAATATATCAGCCTCATTTTACCCTATCAATTGAGGGCTTGTATCAAATGTATCGGGCTGGAAGTCTATGTAATCAAGCCACAAAAAGCACTAATCCGGAGTTTGCTCTTGAAGCCATACTTATGAATGCACCTCTTGTTTCTATTTTCTTGATGGTACTTTCTCTGATCCCCCTTATTTATTTATTTTTTATTATAAAAACTTGATCATTGATTACTCTTATATGTTTTTCTATATTGTTTGTCCAAAGACATACAAACAACCAATCTTGGATTGTTTATATTTTAATATTTTTATTACACTTTAGCTGACAAATGCAATCTATTAAGCACAAACACTGCCTGCATGGAAACTTCTCTTGTTTGCAGTGTTGTAATGTGAAATACTTGTTTGATACTGAAACCTTTGACAGCGTCAAAACACCTGTTCGACACACATTGGACACTCCTTATAAAGTGTGTAATTAAAAAATTATTTTTATCAGCTTGAACATTTGAAAAGTAATGAGAGTAGATTGCATGACTCTTAGTCTGGTAAAAAAATTTAGAGACTCAAAAGAACCTTAAATGAAGTTATTAGAAAAGACATTTTGATTAACTAGATTTCTGAAAATTTAGTTTTTAACTGAGCTTAACAATGTCATGTGATCCATGTAACTGACCTTACCTAGTGGGATAAGATTTGGTTGTTGTTGTTGAACACTTGAACCGACACCGACACTTTTATAATATTGAAAAATTATGTTAGACATCTTAAAAAAATAAAATCAATTTTTCAGTTTATATATATATATATATATATATATATATATGTAATAATACCTCACTTTTATGGTGAGGTTCATTATCATATGAAAAAGTTGAATAAACAAAAATATACAAATATCGATTATCAATTGAGATGTATATGTATGTTTTGGACAATGGTATCACAATGTCCAATATTTTGGACATTAACTATGTCATAGTGTTCTGTCAGAGTTCATGTTTTATATATTGCAATTGATATCCATATTATTTATTGCAACTTGATACCTGAAGATGAAAAAAATAGATGGAATTTATTGTTCATGCTTTTTGGTGTTTTAAGTTGTGCAAATGTGGATTAGGCTTGGTTACACCTGCAAGTATGTAATAAATTATTTTACTCGATCATGTTCTTGTAAAAGGTTTGATTTTGAAAATGTAATTGTTTTGGGTTTTAGATTTGGCTTGTTTATTGTGGTTTTTCTCAATCTCCAATATTAAATGGTCATTTCTTGGAGAAATTGTATATATCGGGCTATAGCTCTGGTTATGATCAAGCCAATACTTCCGTATATTTTGACCAATTTGCTTATAATTATTGATTTTGGCAAATGAGTGGGTGGATCCTATCATGCAATGACTATGTTGTGAATAACCATACTTGTATGTATACAGAATCAGGAAAGGCTTAAAAGCTTTTTTTTCTGGGCAATTACAACTGCTTTACAGTCAGAAACAAAATCTTCTCAAAGGCTAGGGTCCAACGAGTCTCAGTTCTGCAGAAACAATTTAAGGGAAGAGTTTCAAGAGAACTCAATAGTTTCAACACTTCTACGTTGGTTAACAGCATCAGTAATCATTGGGAAGCTTCATAAAAAATCTGATAATGTGGATTCAGGATTCGCTGAACCACATAACATGGAATCCCTTCATTCTTTACTGGTGCATGTCGAAAATTCCACTGGACAAACACATGATATTAAAATTGATTCTGCAGAATTACTAGCATCGACAATTTTCTATCTTCAATTGCGTCTTGGCAGCAATCATGAAGTGCTACCATCGGTTGTATGTGCTCTCTGTCTCCTGACTTTTGGTACCTCTAATTTTGTAGGTACGCTGCTTTATACATTTAATATACTGAGTGCAAATACGGTGATAATTCAGGGTTGACTTTTTAGTTGGATGTTTTGCATCGACACTCTTGCTTTTGGCCAAATTTTTATGCTTTTTTCTTCATTTTATAGTAGGCAGAACTGATTTATTGCAAGGCTACGACACTTTAATATCATCGCACAGTTCAAGGGTACGGTGTCCTCCTGAAGCTAATCCAGCTTGGAGATGGTAATTTTTCTCGAGTCTTTAAATTTCTTATCTATCCTTATGTTCATGTAGGTTGTAGTAATGATGTTAAATAAGGAAAATGTAGTTTATTAGCTAAATTTTTATAATTCTTGGGTCACATCTAATTTTTGAGACTTGGGGGAAAGATGTCAAAGCACTTTTAGAAAATGGAATTTTATTAATAAGATTGGATTTGAGTTTTGATTATCAACAATTGATCTAAGTGAACTTACTGTAGGTGAAGTCGAATCATACAATTAGTTGTGGGTTTACTGTAGATAAACTTAAATGTTGTACAGAAAATGCAGACATGAACTAGACGATGTATATTTTACTGCTACCACAAACAAAGTCTGATTGTATAATTTGTTATTTATCTATGCTTCAAAACAAATCATATATTTGACCTGTTTTTTGTTAGGTCGTTTTATCAGCCATGGAAGGATCATTCACTGGAGCTCACTGATTCACAGAAGATGGAGGAGTATCATTCTTGTCTAACTTTGTTAGTGATTATCTCAAATGTGCTCGGTGGAAAGAAATTAGAGTCAGCTTGTTTATCCCCTCTAGATGTAGAGATAACTGACTTATTCCAATGGGAAAGAAGTTTACTAACAAATTGAGTGTTTATTAAGTGTATAGCTTATTTTTTGGCATGTCAGGAAGTGTACAGCTTAGTGTCAAAGTAACACACAATATAACCAAGGTGCAAATTTTGACAATGGAAACAGCTTATCTTTTTTGTATTTGATGCTAATATGGAAGCTGATCTCATAGCTAATTTACTCCTATTGATTAAATTAAAATTTTGGTCTTTTACATGTGATGTATTTTAAATTTAGTCCCAACATGAAAAAGTGCTCAATATGGCTCTTACATGAAAATTTTATTTAAGTTTCCCGTTATAATTCATTTAACCGAGTGTATGTGCTGTTATTAGTCTAACAATATAATCTGAAAAGGTTTAGAACACGCTTAATTAAAATAAATAGTTATCAATAACATTTTTGTTTTTCATTTATGATCTTAATTTTTAATTTGATTCTTATAAGCAAAATGTTAAATCAATCTCTGAAGGAAAAGAATTCTCATTCTACTCTTAGCCAGTACGCCTGTTTATAATAAGGACTTAAATTCGGTGTAGATAAACGAATTGACTTACAAGGTCAGGTATTTAAGAATATTGATGCAGGCATGATTTCAACGATATAGTGTTGAATTTTGCGTCTGATAATTAGTAACAAATTCCTTAGCACAATTCGTTGGACGGTGGAGAGTGGATTGGTATTGAGTATCATTACTCACAAAATTCCATTGTGTTGGGATCATTCATTCCCTGATCTCCTTATTGCTGTTGACTATTTTCTCAAATTAGGATTCTCACCTGGTGCTTCACCAAGCAAAAGAATACTGTCATATATATAGAGATGTGATTGCCGAAAATGGTCGGTCATACATAGGTAACATTCTTTCTATCATGACCATTAATTGTAGTTGTTTATGTCAATATTGTATGCTTTTTCCAAGTCGAAGTTGAGTAGTTTCATATTCATGTTCTCAAATGGTTTGTAGTCTTTGGATATGTAGCTTGGTACACACAAATAATACAAATTATCGTCCCTTTTATGGTACTTGGGATATGTGCTCTTCCCTTTTCCCTTTCAACTCTTATGGGCTATGGCTCTGGACTTATAAAATGATCTTTTCATAATGGTAGGATAATAGTAGGGATAACATTTCATGCAAAATTTAAGGACTCCATGGCAATAGCCCTTCCTTGGTTTGTTTTTTATCTAAGTGCTTTGCAGTTGATATGCTTGTCGAAATTACGAAATTGTTATGGGAACATTTGAATAGAATGAGTGTAGAAACAAATTTTGGTCAAACAAATTTCTTTTTATAAGTTTATAGAAATGGTCACAACTTCATTTGAGCTACTTTAAACATACACCTTGATGGCATGTTCCAACGCCACATTGTTCCCTACAGTTGCTTCATGTCCACAAGTGTGAGCATATGTGGGAAATGTCTTTGAAATTTCGTTAAGAAAAAAGCCTAACATAGGTTTGCTGATAAAATAAGTTGTTATTGCTTTTCCATTTACATGAAAATCACGTCAACGAAAAACAAACACTACAAATATTAAAACAATAAATTTGCACGTTTCGATGAATGACTTATCTTACGAAGTGAGTGAAAACAATGAAATTTGCAATAGAAAAAAGGGTAAAACAAATTATAATAACAGTATATGACTTCCATGGAGAGAATAAGGCTAGTATAATTGTGAGCTATAACATTCTCGAGGTTGGAAGAGTGTGGTCTTTGCCAACACCATTGATTAGAAGCATAACAATACTCCACTTGGTTACTTAGACACAAGTTCAGAGTAAGGTTGGATAAAACCTGATTTGATTAGTTTATAGACAAACTTTATATTAGTCTTTTTTTTTCACTCTTCTTGTGGAAGGGAACTATTTATGCAATGCATCAAAAGAGAATTTACATTGAACATACAAAAGAAATGGTTTTTATTGGAAATGATGAGAGTTGACATCCAAACAAGGTCCATGATAAAGTGACATGGCATTACAAAAAGCTGCAGACCTTTCTCTTAATTTCTTTCAGTTTTAATGGAAACGAAATCTTCAGAGAAAATATGAGAATTGGTCTTTCTAGTGGGTTCAGCAAACTGATTGTAATGACATGAGCATCATCATCCAATAGGAAATAAACCAAAGTAAAATTCCAATGCTTGGTTATGCCTCTCTTGGATTATTTACCTGAATTTGTTGAAAAGTCATATAAGCTATTTAAGGTGGTGCTCATAGTGCTGCTATGCACTCAATTTCAATCTTTGCATCTAATGGCAAGGCAGCTACTTGATATGTTGCACGAGCGGGGGCAGGTAAAGGGAAGTCTGAAACCATTTAAAACATAAATAAATGATTATTGACACCAATACTGCAAGAAGTGAAAAAAATAAAAATTACAAAACAACAGATAAAACCTTATATTCTAGCATAGTACTAAACAATATGAAAGCATAACCTAACACAAACTAACATATGAATCTTCAATTTACACACAAAAAAAGGAGAGATTTTCAATCCAAAAGCTAGCCAGCTAAAATACAAGCACATTAACTGCCAGAAAATGGAGCAGAATTAATTTCTACAGCATGATATAATTTATTATCAGAAATAAATTCATTGGTAGGTAAGTAGAAGTGTATTGAATGGATGACTAATTATTGTTATTAAAAGAAATAACAAATAAAGTTCAAAAGTTTAGAATGGTGGAACTTGTCATTACAACTAAACAGTCTATTGAATGCTTTAAGCAGGGATGTAAACTACTATCAAGGAAACATTAAATCACTACCACCGAACTCACATTTAGCATAGATCTCATTAACTTTCGTGAAGTCCTTCAAGTCAGCCAACCTGGAGGAAATAAATGGTATAATCTAGTCATCTTGCCAGCAGTTGATACAATTCAAATTAAGGAACAGCATAGAACTCATACAAAATTGTTGTCTTAACAACTGATGAGTAGCTGGCACCCCCAGACTTCAGGATCTCCCCCATATTTTTTAGAACCTGCAATGTGTAATTATTTCAAATGTCAGCCACAAAATCAGTAAAATGCATTTTTACAGAAATGCAACATCAAGACAAAATTACTAGCATACATTACCATTAAAGTGATAGGAATTTACACACATCTATCTCAAAATGATTAATAACATTCAGAGAATGTAGGCATGTTCCAGAAATTACTTATATATTGGTTTTCCATTTATGCAGAAAGACATCATCAAGAGTAGGTGATATACTAATTCAGCATCGCAAGAATGTTAGGATTCTCATGATTCTTATTGATTCAAGGAGTCTTATGATGATAGTGGTCGTAATGGCTCAGACTTCTAATACGCTAAGACCTAGATTGATAGTATAAAAAGGAGTGTTAGTGTTGTTTGCTTTTCTTTTCTTTAAGTTTAATGATGAATTCTCAGCATTCTTATTGATGCTTTCAACAATCCATTTTTATTGACAAGGTCTCATGTTAGTTTCACCACAATATCTTGATTATTGATCAATTAAAAATTCAGTCACGTTCAATTAGTAAACTTAAGCATTCTTAGTGGTCACTCTAAATTATTAACTTCTTCCAAATATGTATACAGGGAGGATTTCCCATGATAATATTGTAAAAACTTATGTCCATACAAATTACTCAACCATTAGCAGTAAAGCCATCCAACTAAACCAAATCTCAAGCACAAGTTCTAATAATACCTCACAGGCCCAAAACCAAGAGAAATGTGACAATGTACAAATACTAAGAGAAGCACATATATTACAAAACGAAATAAGTTCAGAGTTAACTTCTTGTACCTGCTCTGTCTGATCTTCAACATTATCAGAGATGAACTTCCCTGTCTGCATTAGAGACCAAAACACACATTATCAGGGACGCATTTCATCAAGCAGCCAGCACAAATGCACCATTGCACATGTAAACAGAAACTGAATAATTGGAGGACTGAATTCATGAGTGAACTTCAGATGGATGATATCAAACCTCAGGAACAAGGCCAAGAACACCTGACACAAAAAGAAGGTTGTTGGCTTTGATTGCTTGAGAATATGGCCCCAATGCTGCTGGGGCCTTTTCAGTTTGAACAGCTTCCTTGATCGCTACAATCAATGAGAGTGATTCACAGCATAAGATTTTGAAGTAGATGAAAATAGCAATGCAGAGGTATTTCATGCAAACAACATTATATGTCTCTCTCCAACAAAATACAAAAGGCATCTCAACTAGGACCAATACATATACTTCAGTTTTATACATTATATTATAATTAAGTTTTTTTTTATATTTAAAATATGATTTTTTATCATATCCTTGTCACATGTTCTATCTTTATCTTTTAGGTCAAAATTTATTTACTTATGTCGCAGTCCTTAATCCTACAGAGTTTTGTTTGTCAAAACAAATTGGTACTCACTAGTCAAAGGGGTCAACATCTCAGCAAGTTAACAACTTCAGGCACCAATTTGCATCCACCAAAACTTTGGGTTAACATTTTTCAATAGTGCATTGCATATTTATTCATGCACAACAAAAATTAAAAATTATGTATATATTTTTTATTTTTATGCAACAAAATTCAGAGAAAAAAATAGAAGAGGAGAGAGAGAAACAGTACTGGTATGAAATAATCGAAACTTACGGGTATCGGTGGAGAGGCTCATGCAAGCGAATGGCACTGAGCGCTTAGACGAAGTCGAACGCAAAAGTGCATTTCCGGCTACCACTGCTCCGCCTATTCCGGCGGCCCACGATGCCCGGCGGCGAAGAACGCCGACGTTCACCGCCGGAATGTGAAGAGTCCTTGCAGCACACCACGACGCCATCTCTCTCTCTTTGCTTCGACACTGACTGTTTGTGATTCACTGTCTGAACACTGAAATCCTCGGACAAACATGGTTGCTTTTATGGTTAGTAATATTTCAGTTGTCCGAAATTACCCTTGTCTGACGTGGATTTTTGTTGTGAAACTAAGTGGGCTAAAAAAAGCTGGTCATTGTTTCCCTCGGCCCAAATTGAAGGTTCAGCCCAATAAATATTTGTTGAACCTTTCATGGTAGAGTACTTTCAGCCCAATACTTTTGACCAAAGAAAAACAAGGTATAGTAACAATGAGATTTGGATTGAGCATTGTTTGTTTGTTTTTTTAAGTTTTTTATTTTTAAAAATAAAATATAATACAAATTTATATTATATTTTTTTAAAATAATTTTTTTAAAAAAAAGAAAACAAATATAATACTATATAATTTTCAGTTTTCGTTTAGGTGACTTCTACGATAGTCTTAAATTTGAAAAATATTAATTTTTTTTAAAATTATACTAAAATATTAAAAAATATTTATATTTTTTTAAAAATAAATCACTAATTCTATTACTAAAATTAACAGTTATGATTATTCTATATATAAGAAAAGCATAAAATATCTTCTCATTTTCTGCCATAAAATTTATCTTTCGTTCAGAAAACTTATCTAATATTATGTAATAGATTAAATAGAGAATTAGACTTATTATTTAAAATATTATTGAAATATATTTAATATTTTTAATTAAATAAAACAAAGGGAAAATAAATAGGATAATTAACTATTATTAATTTGTTACTAAAAAGATATTTAGAATAATTAGTATTCATTTCCTTTTCCTTTAATTTATATTTGGATCACAAAAACATCAATATTAAGATTTTTAATAAAATAAAACGAAAATTTAATTTAATAATTTAATATTATGAAAATATTTTCAATATTTGTTAATCACGTAACATAAATAGACCAGTAGCTAGGAAAATTATTTTTTATTATTTTATTAAATAATTTATAAGTAAATATGGGATTTGGAATAACAAATGAATCTCTTTGTTTCCCTTTCATGTATGCTGGAAAATGATAAACGTATGGATGATGAGATCTTTAATATTTAGTTACAGAATAAAAAGGAAAATTAATTTTTTTTATTAAATAATGACTGTATCCTTTTATTTCTGTTTTATGTATTTTTGGAGAATGAAAAATTATCAAATGCTAAGTTATTTTTTAAAATAAATTTTAAAAATATTAATGTCAATTTATTAAAAATTACATTATACAATAAAAGAAATAGTCAAAATGTAGCTTTTGAAAATGCTATATTAATTGAAGATAAAGATAAGAAAAAATTATATATATATATATATATATATATATAATTTTGTTAAAATGATTTAAAAAATTAAAAGTGTTATACAAAGTATCGTAGATAAATAATAGATTATTGACAAATAATAACATTCATATGTAATATATATGCACAGTTTTCTTTTTATATGAAAATGTAAACAATATCTAACTCCAATACAACCACAAATTCATAAATATGGAACATAAGTTCTACACATGGGACATGATCCTTGTTGAACTAGCCATTTGTCTATGCACACTAAGTGAAAAAAGTGGCCACAATTTGGAAGTATTCTGATAAATTCTCCATCCTCGAAATCCTGCAGAATATAATTCAAAGAGGGTGCTGTTAATTTCATTCTGTGGAAAACGAGATTGGATATAGTTTCCTGAATATGAAGGAAAAGTATGCATTAATCTGTGTATCTATATGTTATATGTAATTACATAGTAGATTTAAATCCACAGTTCATTCATGTACAAAAGGGTATTCTGCATTGTTCTATTGGTTATCTTAAGAAGAGTTTTAACTGTTTAGTTTGAAAGAATTGAGAAATGGTTTATAATTTTTGTAAATTTTATTTACGAAAACATCCCTTTAAACTGGTGCATTTTCACATGACTCAAAAAATATAATAAAAAAGCTCACTTGAAAGCAAATTGAGCAGCATGATTCATTGTATAGTTTCAACATTTTGGTGGAATTGAATTGATGAACGGGAAGCTTTTGAATAATATTATGGGCAATCCCTTTGATGTTGACTCCCCTGGTAATGTCATAATAAATATCTGATAGTTGTGTATAAGTTGTTCCTTGTGCATTCATCTGGAAAAATAATTCATCAGAACATTGATACAAAGAACTACAATAATGATTTGACATATATATATATATATATATAGTTTTATATTTATGCTTACATGACACTGATAGGCTTGTGCAACAGCTGGACATATCCATTCCATAAATACCTCTCCATTTAACAAACTCCTCAGCAGGTCAACCTGCAAATCCACACCAGATCTAAGAGTTCACAAATGAAAAATATCATTGCAGTTGTTTAAGCATTAAAATTTGATTCTTAGAGTAATTTTTTATTGAGTTATTATCTTTAAAATATGTTTCTAAGGATCGATCAAATTTTATCTTAATTAGTTATTTGCATCGCATAACATTATTTACTTAGATTAAAAATTAAATTATATATATATAATATATTTGTAAAAATTTCTTTTGAGTGTCTGCTTTTATTTTTTATTGAACTAGATTTTATACTATTTATTCTTTTCACTAGTATTTTTAGTGCTTTCTATATATGTGTTTAAATTATCTTAATCAATTTTCTTTTATCTTGTTAACAATAAGTGTTATTTAATTGTTATCAAATATAAAATTATTTCTTATATTATTTTTCTTCTGTGATTTATTTATTTTAAAATTCTCATTTATATACTTCTTACTTTTACATTGTATTATTCTTTTAATATCTAACATTTACTATTAAATAATTAATATAATAGTACGATGATTTTTTTAAATTTTATTAAATATTTTATGATTTATAATTAATTTTAAATATTTTGTCAGAAGAGACAAATAATATATATATATATATATATATATATATATGTAACTCATAAATATTTACTAAAATATCAATTTATTTTCAGTACTTTATCTTGTTTTTATTCAATTTTTCACCTCATTAAAATTTTAAATTTTTTAAATGGAAATAATTATTATAAATTTTCCAAATCAATTTTTTGCTTTTACTTACAAAACAAACAAATAAAAATGCAATTGTTACTTTACCTTGACCTAATTCTTGAATCAGGAATATGTAGAAGTAGAAACACTAGAAGAGAGACACAGAGAAACCTTGGACTTGGACTAGTAAATGACCACTAGCACAAATCTAAAACAGGTCTAGCTACAAGCCATTGATGAAATTATATGAATATATGAGTCTATCCTATTGCCAAAACATGGAACTTAAAGTATTACCTTTGACATTGAATCATTAACAGCAGAAAAATTTAGCAATTGTAGTGCTGCAATGGCTCCTGTCACAGCTCCTTTCCCAGCCCCATCTAGAAAACCAGCTTCTGTGGTTTGCCCTTTGATTGCTCCTGCAATTATTCCCATTATGGACCCTCCTGTGCCAAGACCAAACATCACTTTTGACACCATAACAAGGATTATTTCCAATGTTTTTTATGAAGTAAGGTTATTGTAAGGATTAATGACAAGCACTAAATTATCCTAAGTTCCTCTTTTCTTCTTGGCCCCTCATGTTTTTCTTCAACCACCTGCTTTATACAACTTACTTTTTTATTTAAGCCTCAATTTATATGCCTAAAGTATGAAACATGCAACATAATATAAGTCTTAGATTTTGGATTTTGGCTTGACTCAATCACATAAACAGTTCATAAAATGAGAATTATTTTAATTAGCACATTTAAAGTGTAAAATTTATATGAATATATTTTTTCAACTGACTCAATATCATATTTATGACAGACTTTAATATTATCTTAATTTTTGGACCTTAACTCAACCTTAAAAAATAGTTCATAAGGTGAAAATTATTTTAATCAACATAGGACTTCAACATTTTTTGTAGCCATTGTGCAAAATCTACTGTGCAATGAATTTGTAATTTCTCTAGACAAAAGCAAAGATAGCTATTCAAAGTATTACCTAGTGCCAGAATGCATGTGAATTCTGCAAAAACGACTCTCTCTACAACTTTCATGAAAAGCTCAAATGCATAACCACCACAGCCAGCCAAAACCCACGTAGAAAAAACTTCCTTACACCTTGTTGTTGCTCCTATCATTCCAGAAAAGCAATTTATCATACTTGAAGAAGGGATGAGAATATGCACTTGGAATTCAGAAGATAAGAGAATGCTATATGTATTGCCATGAAATAATGTAGCTACGCTGGCATTTAAAGGGTGAGACAAGGGCCACATTAATAAAAGTAAAATTATATAGCATTTAAAAGCATGGTGATCATTACTCTCATGCCCATTTGTAAGTGGGATGGGTCAGGAACATGATTTTTGAAAACGACAAAACTTGACTGCATTTTTTAAAATATTTTTATAGTTGTTTCTCAATTAAGATTAAATTAAATTTCACTTAATAATTTGTGTTTATATTAAATGTGAACCTTATAATAAAGTAAAATCTTAATTTTAATTCATAAATATTATGAAAAAACACTTCAAAATATTTATACGTTGTTTTTTTCACTCTTATCTTGGTCATGATGGGAATGAATTACTCCTTCCCTCTCATGTTATACGTTGTTTTAGATCTTTTTTTTTATTTGTCTCAAAATATTTAGTATTTAAAAAAAGCTTAATTATCTTTTATTTATTAATATTTCACCTAAATACTATAATAAATTCATAATTATATTTTAATTATTTTAAAAAATATTTTTATAAAAAAAGTAATTTATTATTATAATTTGTATAATTAAAAACATTTGAAAATATACATTATCCTAATAAATAAATAATATATGTGACTGAACGAGTATCAAAATAATAACAAAGGGGGACTTGACTGGATTCACCAAGTTCTCATAGGACAAAATGGATTGAAAGTTCAAAGCGATTAGATTGATTTTGGTGTGATCTGTTGAAGTCGATTAAACCAGTACCAGTTCTAGCTAATGCAGTTGAATGGCTATTCTACTGTTCCCAATTCACATTTCTTGTCCTTCCTTGTAATATAGGAAACTGTCAATTCAGTGCCTAATTAAATAGACAGTTTATTTTTCCGTATTAATGAGAGATAATTCAAATTTAGTATTGAATGTATATCTGTTGAATATTCACACTAATTAGGATAAATATTCCATCCCTTGATCGATTTGAAAGATATGACTGAGTAGATGGCTGCAAATTTTGATGGATATAAATAAAAGTAGTTATGTATATCATAATAGGGTACGATACATGTATGTGTAACAAAAGTTTCAACACTTAGCATAGCACAGCACAGCAAGAGAAACAGGATAACAAAACAAGGTGCTGGAAGAAGAATGAACAAAGAATGAGCGATTTAATTGCATTAAGTGATGGAATTGGATGGATCCGTAGATATCAAAGCAAAAGTGGCTCCCACCTTTATATTGTTTAGCCTACTAAAGTATCTCATTCTTTTAATTTCAACCTTCCTTTCTCACTTTATATGCTGAAGGAGATGTTTGATAAGAGGTTTTAAATTTGTATGTTTGATATGGATATTCAAAAATATTATTAAGAAAATTAATATTTTTAAATTTCAGTTTTCTATTAAATGTTTGACAATCGTGCTAAACTTTCATTTAAGTAATAAATAGTAAAGATATCTTATTCACATTAAATTAGTTAATATTTAGTACTTTCATATAATTATAATTATATATATATATATATACACACACACACATATATATATATATATATATATTCAAAACTCAAAAGTCAATTCAATTTAATAAATATAAAAATATAAACACGACTGTTAATAAAAAAATGTTAGAATTAAACTTCACTTAACATTCTTTTCATGCATATTTTAAAACATACACACATATATATATATATATATATATATATATATATATATATATATATATATATACTCTTTTATCAACGTTAATATGATACTATATATATCATCTTAACTTAATACTTTAGTATTGAGGTTCTGAATTACTATTACAAATATCACTTCCTTGAATATTTATAAAAGTTTCTTGCATTAAGTATTTTGCTTAATCCAAATAATAAAACAATACTATTCTTAGTAACGTGTTTCTTTAGATGATTCATTTTAATTCTTAACCTGGAAAGTATTTTCCAATAGAACCTAAATTATTAATCAATTTTAACATAATCAAAACATAACAAGGATTAAGGACAGAAAGAAATTACTAACATTGATAAAAAAAAATAACAAATATATTTTAAAATATAGATGAGAGTTGATTGGTTACATTCAATCATAATTCAGAATAGATTAATTACTCATTATCATAATATCAATCTTAATACATACAAAAGAAAAGATAAACATTTAATGTTCTTCACTTCAAGCTCTAAGATTATAAGAATGAATCTTTCTTCTTAACCCTCTCAAAGATTAGTAAAATATACTCATTTCTTAACAGTTATGTCATCCACTCCAACTCATATTAAAGCATTTAAAGATTTTCAATTTGCTTAAGTGAAACACTTCTTTGCTTTTTTGGAGGTGAGAGATTTGTTTAAGTCATTTTCAAATGTTTAAAGTAAATTCATAGAACTCAAGACTTCTATGAATTCACTTAAGTAAAAATATTTTTATTTCAACAAATTATCACGTTATTACTATTGTGTCTAGTTTTTTCTTAAGTCATTTCATGCTTACTTAATAAAATTTATGAATTTCTTATTCTACTTCATTTTAACTTAAGAGAATTTTTTGACTTAAAGCAAAAAATTTATTTTTAAATTTTTCTTTCCTTTCATGATTCTCACCAAAAAAAATTCAAAATACTTAAAAATTGACATTATAAATAATATATTTGTTAGGCTATTATTACTTATGTATTTTATACAATTAAAGGCAAAATAATATTTTAGTAACATTTATCATTATTATTTATAAAAAAAATTACTTTCATGAGAGATGTGAGAATCTAAAATTTTCATGAAGGCAAAAAAAATTTACAATATAAAAAATATAATTATACCTTCAATGTTGTCAAATTAAAATCTAATTTATTTTATCATTATCTATTTATAACTTTTACTATTAACTAGTTATTATAATAAAAAACTATTTAAAATTATTATAATTAAAATTTTATAATCCTCGTTACTCGTGTTAATTAACTAAGGTAACGATATCATCTAATACCATTTCTATTTAAAATTCCATATGGATTTAAAGACACCAAATACTTTGTGAAAATCACATTTCATCAACTATCTTACCTAAAAAAATCAATTAAGTCTCTTAATAATTAAATAAACCTTATTTTTAGTCACTCTAATTTCAACAATAAAAATAAAGCCCAAATAATTCATTCTAATAATATCATTTACTATCTCAACAGCTCTCTCATAGTTTCAAAATAAACAATTTATAAGAATGAAGAAGAGTTATTAAATATCTATTTTAATAAGTTCAGGACTTGAAGTATACAGAACCATACCATTATCTATATTAGTAATATCACCTTGATTGGTTTCAATGATTTCCATGGGGTTATCTTTTGGTGCTCCTAAATTGTAGTCCTTTAATTAATTAGGTTAATTTCTATTTTCACACAACTCCCTCCTTATAATTCTTATATATAGCTTTCTGGGACTGCTCATAAGATTTAAAATTTTCTTCTCATTAATTTTTTTTAATTAGCATCTAGATTCATTTTATCCTCCACTTTAAACCCAACATGATTGATGAGAGGAACTGAGTCCTTCCAGAGAGATATGTCTCAGTTTTCTGATTTATTTTCTCTTGATATAAATATTTGTATTTTTTACGATTACCTATTTTTATATTTATTAAAATTAACTTAATTTTTTATTTTATTTTTAAATTTAGAATTTAATTTTAAGAGTTTTATTTTTTTAATTTATCGTCAAAAAAAATATATCAATTATTGTAGAATAAATTATATTTTAAAATTATTTAATTCTATTCATTTTTTATCATTTTATTACACAATATTTGTAGTTATAGAGTTAAGTTAAAATATTTTTCAAAAAATTATTATTTAAAATAATTTTATTTTATATATAATTATTTACAAAAATATAAAACATTATTTTTGAAGTATTTAATTATTTTATTTAAAAATCTATATTTAAATACATGTAAATTGCATATGCTACTAAACTTGTTTGAGTATATGTTAAAAATTTAATTATAACAAATTTATTATTCATCATCATCATTATTATTATTATTATTAATTTCTATATTATAAATTAGAATTTACTATTTGAAAAGTGAAACGCAAGTGAAATAACTATCTTTCATAATTTGTCACATGTATATTTTATAATTAAAATTTATTAAAAATAGATGTATGAATTACATTTTTTATGTAAAAATATTTCTTTTTACTCACGTCTTTTTTATTTCATTCTAAATATTAGAGATTAAAATTATTATTTGACTCTCGCATATTACTTTATATAAATTTTTATATTTATTATAAATATATATTTTTATATTTATTAAAACTATTTTATTTTTCTATTTTTAATTTAAAATTTATTATTAAGAGTCATGTCTCTTAAATTATATATTAACTTATCTATCAAAATTTAATAGAGATGAAGAGTAATTTAAATTGTTATATTTTTTTAATATTCTTTTTATTACTTTATATAAATAAATATTAAATAAAAATATTCATTTATTATTGTGTTAAAAACATAAAACATGTTAAATAATTTTTTCATTCAATAATTAAAAAAATAAAAGTAAATAATAAAAAATTAAATTATTCATTTAAATTTAGTAGCCGCACGACTTTACTAGAGAGATGCTATGATATACCTGACCTAATCAAAGCTCTGTATGAAGTCATAACAAGTCCAAGAAACCTAATTGCATAGTCTCTTTTGTGTTTTTAATGTAGCAGTTAGCCCAATCTAATCTTGTCAATGGTCACCTTCCTTTGATTGGGGGAAAGTAATTGAATTACATTCAAGGCTATATCCGTTTATATTAAAGGATAAAATATAGAAATAATATTATAAATAATTTTAGTTCTATTTTTTTAATTAAAATTGAAGTTTTATTTTAATAATGTGTATCAATCTTTAATACTCGTAGAGTGTTAATTTAACAACGTTGATTTTTATTATGAAATAAAACTTCAATTTTAATAAAAGAATAATATACTTAGACTTCAATTCCCATGTTTTGTGCCATGCTTAGGTATTGTTTAGAAGAAAGCAAGGATGTGGAAGAAGGGAATGGGCAACAACACCAACGTGGGAAATGAGGGGTAGTAGATATAGTTATTCTATGAGGGGATCTTGTGCTATATAATGTATCGTCCAAAGATATCTCTTGTGCAATATTGAATGAGTTTAGTATTATCAGTAGCTGAAGATGCAAGAAACAATTGCAATGAAGCAAAGAATAAATGCAGAAACATAAAGCACATAAAGAAGAAGCATTTCAATAACTTTGTTTTAAGCATAGAATAATTATAAATTTATGTTAAGAAAAGTATTCATGAAAACTTGCAGAATCTAACTTTTCTTATAGAGATCTCCAAAGTTGTTGAAGGTTGGAAAAAGAAGGCACACTTCACTGCAAGTTCATGAATAGAGTTTTTAGATAATTTATTAAACCTTCTCATTCTTCTTCTTGACCTTGTTGGTGCCCTCCCTCACTTGTGAAATTTGAAGTGCATTCCAGGCAGCGTTACCTTAGTATACTCACCTTTTTACTGTAATCCTCAAGTCCAGGTAATAGCTTTCTCATATTTCTCATTTCAATAGCAAAAGCACAATACTTTAATTTCTATTGATTTCTAATGATATATACATATACATGAGTGAATTCACAATTAAAAAATATAATGAACATTGTGAGACCTTACAGAAATTAATAATTTTTGTTGACACGATAATTTATGATTAAATGATAATGTAATTTTTTATATAATAAGTACATTTAAATTAAGCTATTTCTTTTTACAGCTACATTATATTCAACTTTTAAAAAACTAATTAATATATAAACTTGTAAACAATACTAAAATAGAAATTATAAAAGCAACTAACTGATTAATATCATAAAAACTATAAAATATATAAGGAAGCAATATTATAAAATCACAACTCATAGGGAATGATATCGTAATGATATAAGAACAAGTACTAAATTAAAAAAAATCAAAATAACTACAATTTTAAAAATAAATAATGATAAAAAAATATAGTTAAATTAAAATTTATATTTTAATAAAAAATCAAATTATTCTATAAGTAAATTAATATAATTATTTTTCATTTTAAATTTTAGTAATCTATAAGTATTTTTCTATAACCATTCATATAACTATGTGAATAACTTATATAATATAGATATTTTAAATGTTATATAGATGAATTTTGTTACTTTATCAAATATTTTACCATTCTACTTTAGGATTAAAACTCAAAAGTGTAGCCATTTACTTCAATTTTTTTCTTATTTTGAAATACTTATTCAAAATAAGTTTTGTAATACAGTCTTTTTACTCTTTATCTAACACAAATTTTCTCATAATTTTTACAATTAGCCACAATAATATTATAAAAATAATAATAATTTGCCACTTACTAAAAATTAAAATAATTTCAATTACTAATAAAACTTTTGTTAACATAAGATGTATTCGATAAAACTAGTAGATAAGTTAACTAAAAACTAAAAAAAATGAAAAACTAGTTGATTTAATTAAAAGAATTTGATAAAATTAGCTGTTAATTTTAAAAATGATAAAAGAAAATGACATCATTAAATTTTAGTCCACAATATGAAATTTGATAATTAAATATTTTAAACAGCATGATTATAGAATTGTATCTCATTTGAAATATTTATTAAATGAAATGAGATAACATAAAATAATTTATACTATCATTTAATAATTTTATATTATAAAAAATAAGAATTAAAAATTTGTTATATTTTAATAAGATTTAATAACAAAAGTGGTTTAAAAAGTTGAACATGAAAGAGATAAATGTATTAGATTTTAGAAATATCAAAAGAGCTAAAATAAAGAATTGTTGAAAATAATAGGAATAAAAATAAAAAACATTTTTAACTAATAACAAAAAAGTAGTGTTTAAGAACCCTAGTAATCAGCTACTTCAGTCATCCTACAAAACAAAATTGTTTGTTTAAACATGCTATTAAACTAGTATAATCAACTTTCAGTAAGTTGAAATGACTTTCTAATGCACTTATAGTCTTTATCTAAAAAAAAGTTTTTATAAATATTTTAAAAGCGTACATTAACAAACAATGCAACATATTAATATTTAAATATTAATAGTATATATTAATATTTTATATTAGTAGAAGCTAATTTTAAAATGATATATATTGCTACCAATATATATATATATATATTGGTAGCAATACGTTGGCTAAGGGAAAGGAAGATCAATTTACACATTACGTGAAACATGAAAGTAGAGATTGTTGCACGCCAATTGAGTAACTTAATTTCCTATAAAAGCATTTTGGAAAATCTGAAAAACGAAGTCAAGAATTTGCAACGAAAAAGACAAAGGGTGCAAGAAAATCTTATTTGGGATTCTGAGAAACTCCAAGCTAAAAGTAAGTGGTTAAAAAGAATTGATGAATTTTTTGGACAAGTGAATGTATTTGTGAACTACTATGAAGGAAAATGTTCTTGCACAAATTTCCTATGGTGGTACAATGTTAATAAACAAGCAAGAAAGATGACGCAAGAAATGTTCCAATTACAAGAAGAAGGTAATATGTATTTGTTAATGAAACCACCAAATTATTACAAGGCCCCAAAAGCAAGAGCGGATACAATAAATGATATTGTGGAGGCCCTGAAGGACCCTCTTATCCAAACAGTTGGAGTATGGTGGTTGGGTGGTGGAGACACAACCTTACTAGCCAAACAGGTTGGAGACCAAGCGAAAAAAGAAGAACAGAACTTGTTCAAAGTGGTTATCATAGATGTAGCTGAGAAGCCAAGCTTTGAACAAGTTCAAAAAGGTATTGAAGCTATATTGGGTCTCCAGTTTAATGGGGAAATGCATGTAGAAAGAAGAAATAAATTGCGTCTTAGAATAAAGAAAGAGAAAAGGATTCTTATCATCATTAATGATATGTGTGGAGAATTGAATCCTCAAGAATTTGATTTGGATGAAATTGGAGTTCCTTTGGGTGATGAACATAAGGGGTGTAAATTGTTGCTAATATCAAAAAGTTTGGATTTCATAAAAAATTTGATGGGTGCTCCTAAGGCTAAGGTGTTTCAACTAGAAGTGTTGCTAGAAGAAGAGGCCCAGAGCTTGTTTGAAAAGATGGTTGGAGGCATTGCTCAAGATTCTGAGGCAAGTTCCATAATAACTGAAATAGTGAGAAGTTGTGAAGGTTTAGCTCTTGCACTTTTTGCTATAGCCAAGGTATTAGAAAAGAAAGACCTGCATGCTTTGCAAGATGCCTTAACGCAGTTAAAGGAACATGTTGCACCAATAAGACTATGTTACAATAGTTTAGAGAGTGAAGAACACAAATTCTTGCTCTTGATTCTTACCATCAGGGGGAGGAGAGTCGTGAACAAGTATAGTATATATAGAGACATGTGGGAAGGTTTATTAAAAAATCTTGGTACATTAGAGGGTGCAAGAAGTAGGTGTGATTCATTAATTAATGATCTTAAGGCCCATGGTCTTCTAGTTGAAGATGAATATGAAAATGTCAAAATAAATGACTTGATATGGCACACTGCTTATTCAATAGCTCAAAGTGATCTAAAAGCTTCAATAATTTCTACAGAATGGCCACCTGAAGAATGGTTGAGAAGTTTATGCTTCTGCAACATGACTATAGTGAGTGGTGCGCAGGTTCCTGAAAGGTTGCAATGTCCAGAAATGCAAGAGGTTATACTAAGCACTGACAATCCATCAATGCAGGTTCCAAATTCATTTTTTGATGAAACTAAACTTCTGAAAGTATTAGAACTTATTGGTTTTGACTGTTCAAAACTACCTTTTAGTTTTGGTTTGTTAAAGAACCTTCAAGCATTATCCATGTACAATTGCAAATTGGGAGACATAACTATAGTTGGTGAGCTCACAAACCTACAAATTCTTGTCTTTTTTGGAAGTAGAATCCAACAATTGCCTAGACAAATTGGTCAGCTTCAGAAGTTACTAATCTTGGATTTAAGAGACACATATCTCCAAGTGATTCCATCCAATGTCCTGTCAAACTTGACTAGTTTAGAAGAATTATATTTGAGAAACTCCTTTTGCAATTGGGAGGTTGAAAGATCCAATAGTGAAAACAGAAATGCAAGCTTGAAAGAGCTAATAAACTTGCCTCACTTGGCTTACATAGAAGACTTGTTTATTCCTGATCCTCAAGCATGGCCAATGGACCAGAACTTTGAAAAACTTAAATCATACACGATTTTCATTGGGGATAGATGGGGTGAGACTCATGATGGTGATCATGGGTTAAAAACAATGAAACTCGAGCTCAAGCGAAGGTTGCAATTGGAGGATGGGATTAAAAGGATGATGAAAAATGTTGAAGTCTTATACTTAGATGAACTAAATGGTGTCCAAAATGTTCTCAGTGATTTGGATAGAAATGGGTTTCGCCATTTACAATCTCTCTGTGTACAAAACAATGCTGAAATCAAATGCATAGCCATGAGCTCTCGTGATGATCATCAAATTGATGCTTTTCCCAACTTGGAGTCTTTGTCTCTCGACAATGTAAGCAATTTAAAGCACGTATGTCATGGTTCTCTAAGTGAAAAATCTTTCTTCAAAATAAGAGCCATCAAAGTGCAGCAATGCCATGAAATGACATGTCTCTTCTCAGAGTCAATGATCAAAGGTCTTCCTCATCTTGTTGATTTAGAAGTTTCAGAGTGCAAACTCATTAAGGCAATTGTGATTGGAGGAAAGAAGAGACCACATATAATGTTTCCTCAATTACGCTCTCTCACATTACAAGGACTCCCTGCATTATTGAATTTCTATATGTCTTCTTCTAACCATCGACTCGGAGTTTTTTATGACAAGGTATGTAGATATTTCAAGTTCTATGTTATCGCATAATTAACAATATTACAACTTACTAATTTTGCTGCTTCTGTTTTTCCTTTCATTACAATTCCAAAGCTATAATCCTTGTACATAATTAACAAAAACCAAATAAAATAAAATAAGCCAAAAAACAGATATGTTGAAATTTTGTATCAATTAAGTGACAGATAATTCTATCAATACTAAATAATTTTATTTGCTAATTATGTTCATCAACGTGTTAATATAATATTGCGTGTATATATGCAGATTTCTTGTCCTAATTTGGAGAGAATGATGATTTCCAAGGTTATCAAACCTGAATACATAGTCACCACAGGTTGTTCTTTGAAGCTAAAGAACGTATACATCGAAGATTGTGAGAATCTAAGGACTGTTTTTAGTCCTCCATCATCCGGATATCTTCAATATTTGAAGACTTTAGTTGTCAAAAATTGCAGTTCAGTGAAGGAGATTTTCTTTTTGTCCAGTCTATCGTCAAAATTAACAAGTATCCAATTGATTTGTTTAACTCTATTTCAGCTTCCAAATTTGGAATGGGTATGTAATCAATGGGTACGAGAAGGTAAATTATTATATTTGAATGATATTTTTAAGAACATGAGAAGCAATTTGGTTTGAAAAATCAGTTTTAAAATTTTTCTTTTAATTACAAAAATGTTAATCTTATTTTTATTTTATTTTTTGTATATGCATCATATGCAATATATTGTACATTTTTTTAGTGCATGTGTGTGTGTGTGAAATCAAACATGAATAGTGACATTAATGATTTTTTTTTTCCTTCAACGTTAGAAAGAAAATGAAAAGGTTTCTCTGTTGGCAAGTGCATTACAAAGTTTAGTAACAAGAAGCAATATTTTATTTGTGGGAAATTGATTTTTTTTGCATTTTATTTTCTTCCTTTTATATGTTCATTGAAAAATAGTATTTTTACTTTCTTGCTTTATTTATTTGCTTATTTTTTTATGCTGAATAATTGGAAAAAAATTTACGACTTTTAGATGTTGAATTTCCTGAAATGGTCAAAATGCACCTTGAAGACTTGCCATCATTAATGGGAATTATCGATGATGGCTATGTTGAATTGTCATCTTTGGAGGATGTAATCGTTAACCACTGCCCCAAATTGCTTAAATTTGGTTTGGGAAAGATAGAAAGGTCACAGTTGAAGTCAATGATGATAGACAATCAAGATCAAATTCACAATGATGCTCAAATTGGTCAATTTTTTTACATATTGGTTAGATCTCTTTCTCAAAAATTTCAATGAGTTTCATCTCTTTTTTTTTCTTTAAAAAAAATCTATACTGCATATTTAATAGTATTATATTAATTTATGTATTTTTTCTATTTTTAATTTTCATCCAATCTTTAAAAATATAGAAACAACATGATATATGTTCTAAATATTCATAAAATATTTTTTAAACTTAATTTATCCAATAAATAATCTAATGCTAATACTGAAAATAGAATAGTCACACTTTATTAATCATTTATTTATGTTTTAATTTTATATTTTTATTTTCAATCATAATTGGTTGTGACACATTTAAATTAGATAATATTTTATACAGTATATATATATATATATATATATATATATATATATATATATATATTGTTAATAAGTATATGTATATGTCATTATCTATAACTAATATAGGTTTAGAATTACACATAAAACTAAATGGATGAAGTAAATTTTCTTAGTGAAAAATTTTTATGTTTGTTTTTTCAATATGCAACATTTACTTAATGTTACATTTGCATTGATAAATCTAACTTGTTTCAAATAATTAATATGTAAATGTCAATTGACTGGAATCATAACTCAAAAGAGAGTCTTTAATTTATTTTTAAAATAAAGAGATGTTTATAATGAAATAAGATAAAATGGTAAAAATTGAACATATTGAACTAATAAAAAAATATATCATTGTTTTTAATGAAAATAACCGGATAATCCTGGAAAAAAAAAACATTAACAACCACGAAGCCTTAAAAAATAATCATCTACTAAATCTCCAAAAATAAGAAAATTATGACTAATAGGAAGATTCTAATATAAATAACAACCAAAACTAAGTTAATAATAAAAGAAAAAGTTATTAATCCAATTTGTCACTTTATTTCTCTCCCGTTAGCAATGAGAAATAGTGATTTGCCCATTTCTTTTTCTAAAATTATCCATGGTACTTATAATAGGAGCACATTAAGGATGAGTAACCTCTTCAAATTTAGAATTAACAACACCTCACAATTTCTACATTATTACATTCATGAATGTTAACGGCAAAATTAAATATTTATGTTTCGTAACAATCCTTAAAAATTCCTAACACAACCAGAAGAACCATGATCAACTTTTTTTAAAGCCAAGTCAATATGAATTTTAAATGAATTAAACCAACGAGAATGATAGAAACAATTATTTTGATATAATGTTATTATGTTTGAATTATTTTCAAAGTGATTTACTAAAGAAAGAAAAATCTGACAGGATGCTCTTCATGACTTAACTATTGATGGGGATGAAGAATTAAGCAAAGCAGAGGAATTATTCAAACATAAACCTTTCTTTCTGAATTACCTTACAATGTTTAAAGCAAAAAATTGCAGCAAAGGAAACCGTTTGTGTCAATTTTTTCGCTACTTGGGAGAGAGGTCAGAACTGCTTAAACATATCACCATTGAACAATGCAGAACAGAACCATTTCTATTTGTTATTGAGTCTTTTAAACACTTATCCTTCAAGGAATTGGTATTAATGCAATTACCTGACATGGTGGACATATGGAATAGTGATAGCTCCTTTTACATTAGGCTCTATAATTTGAGAAAGATACACATCAAGAGTTGCCCCTCTCTGATGGAAGTCTTTCCTAAGTTCGTTGCTGAGCTCCCCCGACTGAATGAATTGAAGATTGAAGAATGTGGGAAGTTAACACAAGTTTTTCAACATGATTATTATCATATTGAATTCCTAGCATTGAGCAAGGTGGAGCTTATGTACCTCCCAGACTTAATTATGTTCCATCCCAACAATAAGGATGCACGATTCCCAGTTTTAAAAACATTGGTGATAGAAAAATGTCCTAAGTTGGAAATATTCACCCATGGACTTGCAACTGCATGTGATTTGCCTATAGATGACCTTGATCCTTTCTTTGAGTTAGATGAACTCAAGTTGGATACTTGCCACAAGTTGGTTTATGTCATTTCCTCTAAGATGATACAAGAGTTTCCAAAATTGACGAAACTCACTGTAAGTCATTGTAACTCATTGAAAATTATATTCCGCATCATAAAGGAAATATCATATTCTACAGAGCTTTTGCAGCAGCTAACTGAATTGACTTTAATTGACCTACCCAATTTGACTCACATCATCAACAAAGAAATTATCAAGTGCTACAAAAATCTCCAAATCCTTGTAGTGAAGCAGTGCAAGTCTCTTAAATCACTACAAGCCTCTCTATTGCTAACAAATATGCAAGTTTCGGATTGTGAGTCCTTGGAGAAAATTATCATGATGGATGAAGGACAAGAAATGGGAGAGAATAAGACCTCCTTTCCTCAGTTGAAGTATGTTTCTCTTGAAGATCTAACAAAGCTCACCACCGTATTTCCGTCTACACCTCAATTTCCATCCTTGGAAACATTGATAATCAAAAATTGTCCTGCTCTCATCACTTTTGTTTATCAGTCCAATGAGCAGAAGGATCATCCAGAACTTGTTACTTCAAACTATTTCTTCCCAAAGTCTGTAAGTTTATCAAAATTTTTAAGATATAATATTCATTTTCATTTTCATTATATATATATATATATATAAACAATAAATATTCTGCACTTGTGATATATCAAAGTCAAAGCCATCATGTTTATGACGGAAAGGAATTGAATGATATAACTGTTCTATGCTATATAATCAATTATATGTATATTACAGTTCATTTCATATTTCCTATGTAGTTTTATTTTCATCTTCACTCTTAGACATTGATAATTTCCATTTGTTCCTTGTAGCTATCATTGGACAAGCTGAAAGTACTTTGTATAATAAACCAAGATGTTGAGAAACTCTGGCACTACACTTGTCCCCCAGAATCATTTTGTAAACTGGAAAATCTAACTTTGAAGAACAACAAATTGTTGAATGTCATCAAATACAACATGATCAAAAGATATGACAATCTAAAATTTATGACTGTGGACAAATGCGAATTAATAACAGAGGTATTTTACATTATAGATGACGGGCAAAATCAGAATATTCAAGAAATGTTTCCCCAGCTGAGCACATTAGCATTGAGTAACCTAAAGAGTTTGACAAGTCTATGGAACAAGGAACCTCAAGTTCCATTTTTTTCAAATTTAATGTCACTTCACATTGTAAATTGTGGGAGCCTCAAAAGTTTATTCTCACCTTCTTCTACCAAAAATCTTGGAAAACTCAAATTACTCAAATTGTGTGATTGTGACAAAGTAAAAGAGGTAATATCAATTGATAAAAATGAAAGTGTATTTATCATTTTCCCTGAAGTAGAATGCCTTGTACTCAAAAATCTTCCAGAGTTAATAAGTTTTTGTCAGCAAAGTGAGACTTTTGAGTTGCCTAAATTACAAACAGTGAGGGTGAGCAATATTCCAAATATGAAGACTTTTTCAGGAGGTCATGTCAACACACCATTATTAAGATCAGTTTATATAACATTTGTTAAGAAATATTGGCTCGGAAATTTGAACAAGACCATATCATATATTCATCACAATTCAGGTACGTAAATTTTAATATTACGTGCAAAACTTATATAAAATTTAGTGATACATGTTTATACATAATAACATTTGCTTTCCAAAATATGCCTCTAAATGTTCTTAATTTAAATTATTAGATGACAACAATTTTATTTTGACATTATTTTAACATGTTTTAAATTTTTTTTAAAATGATAAACTTTAGGACTGGAAAATCTAACTTTGAGCGATAACAATTTGTTGAGAGCCATTTCTTTCCATTTGATCACAAGATACAGCAATCTAATAAATTTGATTGTGGACAAATGTGAGTTACTTACTGAGGTATTTTACCTTGATGATGACAAACAAGATGAGAATATCAAAGAAATGCTACCTCAACTAAGGGCATTAACATTGAGCAACCTAAAGAGTTTGACATATATCTGGAACAAGGAACCTCAAGTTTCTTTTTTTCCAAATTTGGTGTCACTCAACATTGTCCACTGTGGTAGCCTCAAGAGTTTATTCTCATCTTCTGCTACAAAAAACCTTAGTAAGCTGAAATTACTCAAATTGTGTAATTGTGAGAAAATGGAAAAGATATTATCAGATGATAAAGTGAAAAATGTATTCATCATTTTTCCTGAAGTAGAGTGCCTTGTACTCAAAGATCTTCCAAAGTTAATTAGTTTCTGCCAGCTAAGTGGAACTATTGATTGGCCTAAATTACAAAAAGTGAGAGTAAGCAACATTCCAAGTATGAAGACTTTTTCAGGGGGTCAAGTCAACACACCATTGTTAAGATCAGTTTATATAACATTCGTTAAGAAATATTGGTTTGGGAATTTGAACAAGATCATATCATATATCCATCACAATGCAGGTATGTAAATTTCAATTATATACTCTGAAATTTAAAAATTATAAATTTAAATATATTTCTAGTCCCTATATTCTTATAAAATTTTTATTTTTGTCTCAAAAAATTTTTCTTTTTATTTTAGCCCTTAACCTTTTAATATTCAATCCTTTTGATCCCTAGTGATGACATGCCTTATTAAAATATTGTTACATGTTACTTTTGTTACACCATGTCAATGAGAGTGTATAAAAATATTAAATATATAAAAAGTATAGGTTAAAATTAAAAACACTAGAGACTAAAATCAAATTTTCACAAAAATATAAGAGCTAAAGACATATTTAAGCCACAATTGTAGTATAATAGTAATACATGTTTATACATAATAACTGTATATCACATATGGTTACTAAAAGATGTTTAAAGAAGTCTCAAAATTATGGTAAATTCTTAATTTCCTTGAATTTTTATAAGGACACCAAATTCAAATAAAATTGAGGTTAAATTATAATTTTTTTAATTTGATTCTTACATAAAAAATGTTACAATTTAGTCTTTGTAAGAAAGAACATTTTAAAATTAATTATTATCGTTAAAAACATGTTAATAGCGTTAAATGAGAAAAATTGATATTTAAAAAAGTACATATTAACTAGAGACTAATTTATAAATAAATAACAACTATAAATTTTATATATATATATATATATATATATATATATTCTAACAAATAATAAGAAATAAATTATGGACTTGTTTAAAAAAAAAAACAAGATACCAACTGAAAATTTCACAAACTTTGAAGAGACTGGCAACTTATATCTTTAAGCAAACTTATATACAAAATTAATACTATTCAACTACAAAAACTTAAATTAATATTTTTAATTTTATATGTTTGTCTTCATCTTACATTCAAAGAAATGAATAAAGGTAATACAAAAAAGCAACTAAAATAATAATAAAGTATTAGTATTAAAATTTTAAATATAATTTTTATTGTATATCCAATTTTATAAAAAATTTAAACAAATACTTTTTTCTTTAAAAAAATTACTGTCTTTAAAAAATAAAGTATTAGAACTTATTGGCTTTGACTGTTCAAAATTACCTTCTAGTTTTAGTTTGTTAAAGAACCTTCAAGCATTATCCATGTACAATTGCAAATTGGGAGACATAACTATAGTTGGTGAGCTCACAAACCTACTAATTCTTGTCTTCCTCGGAAGTAGAATCCAACAATTGCCTAGAGAAATTGGACAGCTTCAGAAGTCGCTAATCTTGGATTTAAGAGACACATATCTCTAAGTGATTCCATCCAATGTTCTGTCAAACTTAACTAGTTTAGAAGAATTATATTTGAAAAACTCCTTTTGCAATTGGGAGGTTGAAAGATCCAACAGTGAAAACAGAAATGCAAGCTTGAAAGAGCTAACAAACTTGCATCACTTGGCTTATATAGAAGACTTGTTTATTGCTGATCCTCAAGCATGGCCAATGGACCAGAACTTTGAAAAACTTAAATCATACACGATTTTCATTGGGGATAGGTGGGTTGAGACCCATAATGGTGATCATAAGTTAAAACTATTGAAACTCAAGCTCAACCGAAGGTTGCAATTGGAGGATGGGATTAAAGGGATGGTGAAAAATGTTGAAGTCTTACACTTAGATAAACTTAATGGTGTCCAAAATGTTCTCCGTGATTTGGATAGTGATGGGTTTTGCCATCTACAATCTCTCTATGTACAAAACAATGCTGAAATCATATGCATAGCTACGAGCTCTAGTGATGATCATCACATTGATGCTTTCCCCAACTTAGAGTCTTTGTCTCTGAAAAACGTAGGCAATTTGGAGTGTATATGCCATGGTCCTCTAAATGAAAAATCATTATTGAAAATAAAAGTCATCAAAGTACAGCAATGCCATAAAATAAAATGTCTCTTCTCAGAGTCAATGATCGAAGGTCTTCCTCATCTTGTTGATTTACAAGTTTCAGAGTGCAAACTCGTTAAAGCAATTGTGATTGGAGGAGAGGAGAGAATAGTGTTTCCTCAATTACGCTCTCTAACATTACAAGCACTCCCTGCATTATTAAATTTCTATATGTCTTCTTTTTACATTAAACTCGCACTTTTTGATGATAAGGTATGTACATATTTCCAATCCAATTTTAACGCATTACAGTATTACAGATTACTAATTTTGCTTCTTGTTTTTTTCTTTTATTACAATTCCAAAGCTATAATCCTTGTACACAATTAACAAAACCCAAATAAAATAACAAATAATTCTATAAATGCTAAATAATTTCATTTGCTAAATATGTTCATTAATGTGATAATGTATTATTGCGTGTATATATGCAGATTTCTTGTCCTAATTTGGAGAAAATGGTGATTTCCAAGGTCAGTAATTTAGAAGATATATGGGATTTTCCATACGATGATGCAAATTCATTTTGGAAGCTGAAGAACATATACATCGAAGATTGTCAGAATCTGAGGACCATTTTTACTCTTCCGTTTTCCACAAATCTTCAATATTTGAAGACTTTAGTCGTCAAAAATTGCAGTTCAGTGGAAGAGATTTTCCTTTTGAATGATGAGGACAGTCGATTTGGAAAATTAAAAAGTATACAATTGATTTGTAGGTTCACTTTTAAACCCTGTAGAAAAGCAATTTCAGAATATGATAATTTTTTTTTATTTCCTTGGATTTTCTGAAGGACAACAAAGTCAAATTTTTGTTTCTGGCCTAAGCAAAGTAAAATTCACAATAAATGATACATTGTTTGATTGAATCTTAAATTCATTAGATGATCGATTTATGAATTTTTCCTTTCTTTTAAGAAATGGCTTGTACTTAAATCTTGTACTAAGTCTCAATTATATATTGCAAAGTTTCATTTGCATGAGTTAATTCAGAACTAATTGAAATGCATAAAGCTTTTGTTAAGGATGAGATTGTAGCAACTTACTTAACACAAAAGGACAAAGAGGATAAGCATTGAGCATCTTTAATGAGACTTTTGTCAAGGATGTTTGCCCTATTTAGGTAATTTCAAGTCTCTAATTTTTTATATTACAGCTGCAAGGATAATTTCCTTTTAAAAAGAACAATTGTCATATGTTTAATATTTCATACAAAATAATAAAATATATATATATATATATATATATATATATAAATTAGAGTCTTTAAACTAAGTGAATGAAATAAATATGTCAGAGGAATATAATATAATTCAGAACATTTAATTATAATTAAAAGAGTCATTAGAGATTAAAAAAAACACAAGTGTTACAAAATTATGCATTATATAAATAGGACTATTATTTAATTATCAATTATTACTTAATATTTATGGTATATAGTTCAGAACATTTAATTAAAGTTATTAGTATCATTTAAATTTTCATTTTTAATCAGCTTCCAATTAATATATATGGTCTCTATATCATTCTTTGTTTTCTATTAACTTTAAATTTAATTCTCCTAATTAGATTCTTATGGTTTTTTTAGGTAACATATTAATTATTTTTGTTAGATAAACTATAGAATTATGTTACTTATTCGAAACACTCCAAAATTTTCAAAACTTGATTATTGCTCTTAATATATATTATGTAGTTTTAAACGGAAAAAAAATATTTTTGTAATTTATTTGGTAAATTTGGTTTATCTGTTTTATATCCTTTTAAACGGAAAGGATGAAAAGATAAAAATACTCCACAATGGAAGAGATTTTAAAGAATGCTTCAAAGTCATACTAACTAGTCATTAAAAAATAAATAAATATTTTTATATTTTCATATAATTTAAAATGAAAATTATACCTGAATTAACGTCTACATATTCATCCCTTTCATATTCTTAAATTTTAATTTTAAATTCTAACTTTATAACCTACAATTTCATTCATTAATATGATGTTATTAATAGCTTGATTAAATTATAAATTTTGTTTATATAAGTCAAACTAAATGTTCTATAAACAAGAAAAAGAGATCAATCGATTTATACTTACATCAATAACTCTATATAAAATATAATTTTTGTTGATCTAACCATTAAATTACAACTATATACTACCTTAATTATTTATATCAATTTTTGTTAAAATTGAAAAACTATAAGAATATAACAAAAAAATCTTATTTTTATATATTTAAAAAGTATATACTATATTAGTTTTGATGTATATAAACTAAACATTAAATAATTTTGGATTGATTTAAAAATTTGTAAACATGATTTATATTGTTGAAAATTTTAATCTAAAAACTAGATTTAAGTTTAAATTATTATTTAATAAAAAGAACATCTAATATTAACTTTAAATGTTTAATATTACTATACTTAAATAAATTTTTAGTCTATTAAAATCTATATTTTTTTTATCAAGTTCTTATTTTTTTTTAAAAAATTCAAACAAATCTCCTAAGAATTATTTTACATTCTTATATGATCATTCTTTTAATAATTCGTTCATTTTTTTTCCCCATTATCTACTTATATCACATCTAACTTTATATATCCTTTTATATTTTCAACTCTGAAATTCAAAAAGTCTAAATTTATAATAAAAACATTTAATAAACAAAATATGAATAATATGATATTATTAAATATATATTTCCCTAACGTCATGTAAATTTCTCTAGTTTAATTTATAATTTAAGTTTGAATTCAAGTAAATATAACTGTTTTTAGATATTTGAAGAAAGAATTTTGTCATTCATAAGTGTTAAATTTTAGTAAATTTTAACATCAATTAAGGCATTAAAATTTTCAATAAATTAAAGTTGAATTTCAGTTCTCTTCTAATAAAAAAAAATTAAGTTAAACAATTATTTTAATTAAGAGACAGAGATAAAAATTTTCCTTAATCCTTTTTGTTGAATTATTTGTTTAATAGGAAACTAAGAAAGAAGGAAGGCATAAAAGCTAGAAGCTAGTTAGGAAATGACATCTGTCATTATTTCACTTGAGCAAAAATGTAAAATAACAAATGAATTACTGTCTAATTTTTGCTCAAGCAAAATATTTTTTGTTTGAATATAAATATTTTTTTTAACTGTGAAGTACTTTTGTTAATATATATATATATATATATATATATATATATATATAATCTAATTGATAAAGAAAATAAAAAAAATTAATGAATGAATTTTTTTGTCAATATATAAGAATTACTTACATGATAGAAAATTTAAAAACTCATTCGTATAGTAAAATTGATCATCTAAAATTTTGAAATTTTGAATAATAGTATAAATTTCACATCTCAAATATAATAAATATTTTATTTTTTATTTGAAAAAAGTGTTTTTCAAATATTATAAAAATTGATATATCATATAAAAATTATAGACTTAATTAAGTATTTAATCTCTATAAAATTTGTACAAACATCTAATTAAAATATTTAATTTTAAATTATACAACTTCTTTAAAATTATAATTGATTAAAATCATATATTTAATATATTTACGAATTAGTCTCTGTACTTTAAAAAAAAAACTTACATTTTAATTTTTATACTTAAAATAACTAAATTTTTAGTTTTTACACATTCGATCACTTTCATCGTTAACATCGTTAAAATATCAGGACCAAAACTTAATTTGTAATTGAAAAATAAAAAAATGTATATTTCATTTTAATTCAATTTTAAAGTTATTTATTTATATTATTAAAAAATATCTACACATATAGAATGTTTATTTTTTTAATTATATTTGCATATAAACATTATTTTATAAATAAAGTCCTTATTCTATTACACTTTTTTTAACTAATGACTCTTTTTATATTTTTTAATAAACCTATTTTAATTAGGCTCCTCGTTAATCTAAATTAAAAGAAAATCTATATAAAAATAAGCATATAACAGAAAAATAAAATAATTTATAAAAAAAAATAAACTCAACGTAAAGTTATTGTTATTATAGAAAGAGATTAATTTATATTAATATAAGATAAATCCACTTTTATCTCATTTTATTTTATTTTATTTTAGATTTAGACAATGTAAAGCAATCAACTATTGAATTTAAAATTTAAAAATTTCTATTATATTAATTATAACTGAAAAATTTTACATTAATTTAAAATGATTAGATATTTTATTCATTAAATTAAAATTAATGTAATATATATTTTTAAAGTATACAAAAATAAACACCATTTAACTATATTTGTATACTTATTCAACTTCAATAAAATTTAATATAAATAATTAAGATAATTTATAGTTATAATTTAATAGAGAGATAACTGTCTATAATTTATATAAATTATTGACAATATATGAAATGCTGTAACTCACATTAGTCTAAGTTGATCTCCATATATTTTTATAATTATTTAATTTTAATAAAATATAACACAAATAAAAAATTATTAAAAGGTTAATTCTTAACATGACTTATACTAGTGTAGTTTTATTACACTGTTAATATTTTTATATAAAAACGATTTTTTAAATTCAACAGTTGAAATCATTTTAATTATTTGCATTAAATTTTACTAAAATTAAACAAATATAAGAATATAATTAAGAGTCCTTATTTCATATATTTTAAGAGTATATATTACATTAATTTTGACTTATATAAATAAGGTATCACATAATTTTAAATTGATCTAAAATTTTACAGACATAATTTGTATGATAAAATCCTTTAATCCAATGGTTGATTTTATAAAAAAAAATTCCAAACTCAAAGAATTGTTTAAAAAAATGATCATTTTCCAAACTTACACTCACTCGATGGTACAATTTTTTTAAGGGTTGAAGTGTGAGTAATAAGTACCACTTTCTTATCCATTTCAGTATTAAGAGAATTGTTCATCAAATTGTGACTACTTTAGATGGACTCAAATAAGCCTTAAGGGGTTCACTCCATGGGATAAACAAGCTTAAATGTGAGACTGAGTCATGGCTTCATGAAAACAAGAAAATTTTATGATTGATTGCACAATGACAGAACAATTATTGGAATGAAAGTGAATACAATCAGAAATTTTATTGAAGAGAAAGAACTTGAGTTGAGTTCTACTTGAAGATATTATTATTGTTTATACTTAATGCATTTCTCTGTTATAAGGCATCACTATCTGACAGCTCCAATCTGCTTCATGATTGGAACCAATGATGAACTGTGCACCATCTCTAATCTCATTATTTGAAGTGAGGCAATTTTTTTTAAAGAAACAAAGAGAAGAAATAAGAAAATAAAATGGTTTAGTATTACAGATCAGATTTTATAAAAATAATTTATGATTTTTTTATAATATAATTTTTAAATAAAATTACTTTCTTAACTTATTTCAATAAATTTTATTTTAAGTTTATGATATTAAGTCCTTGTTTAAAAATAATTTTTTACATTATTATTATAAAAAATTGATTAAATAAAAACTTGGCTTATTTGTTCTTTTAAAACTTCTTAAAAAAATTAAAATAATATTTTTTTAAAATATATTCTTTATCTGAAATTTTTTTATTGTGTTTTTATGAATCAAATTCACAAAATGAGATGTGTCACGTATGATTCAATTTATGAACTAATTTAAAAAATATATATTTTAAATATTTAATTAAAATGTATTAAAAATAAAAAATTATAATATTCAATTAAAAAATAAAATTACTTAATTTTTAATTAAATTAATTAATAACTAAAAATATATTAAATATGTATATGATATGTAATACATAAGGTCATTGAGAGAAACCTATGATTATGACATTAATAATAATTTAATCTAATCAGTGCAAACATTTTTTCTCCCTTTAAATTCTCAATTTTAGAAAAGTCAAAATTAAGTGTGATTCAATTTTTTTTCACTTTCATTTTAGATAAAAAATTGATAAGTAACAATATCTCAATAAATTATATTAGTGTTAAGAATTAAAAATAAAAATTTATAAAAAACTAGAAATTAAAATAAAAAATTCATTTAAATAAAAATTCATTTAAATAAATAAAAGCGAAAGA